AAAAACAAACCGCGAAGAAGAGCCTTAAAGGACACGGTTTTTAAAGCATCTCAATTTTTTTTGCTAGCTTCAAAGCTTTACCGTGGTAGGTTGTTGGCTTGTCTGCAGCGTTGTCAATATTGTAGTTGGCTGTGTGGTCGCTAGTGTGGATTCGTCGGTTGTCTTCTGAGTGGGCAAAACAGTTGGGGACATCGTTGTTCTAAGACTTGTAGTTAATGACGTAGTCTGTTCCTACATTAGAAGTTGAAAAAAATTCATGTCTTTATAATATACCGTTTGGATAATTGTAGACAAGATATACAGACGAAATTCATAATGGAAGATTGGGGGGGGGTCTTAAAAACAAACCGCGAAGAAGAGCTTAAAAGGAAACGGTTTTTAAAGCATATAATTTTTTTTTGCTAGCCTCAAAGCTTTACCGTTGTAAGTTATAATGAAATTGTCTAAAAAGACTAAAAAGAGTTTTGTATTTTTAAGAGGAGTTCCATTCTGTTTTGTAGTATTACCGTTGTAGGTGGTTGAGTTGTTCGTCGCGTTGTTGATAATGTACTGGGCTCTGTGGTCACTTGTGTGGATTTGTCGGTTGTCGATAATGTAGTTGGCTGTGTGGTCATAAGTGTGGATTCGTCAGTTGTCTTGTGTGTAGTTATAACAGTTGTAGGCATTGTCGTTTTATAACTTGTACTCAATGTCGTTTGCCTCTGCAGTGAATTAACAAAAAGACCAGGTATACGTCAAAAACGTTGTTAATGTCGTAAACAAGAACATCAGTTGCAATTCATGCTGAATGGGGGCGCGCAGTTTGTAAAGAAAGTTATAATCAAACTGTCTGAAGCAAACTAAAAAGAGTTTTGTATTTTTAAGAGCAGTTCCATTCTGTTTTGTAGTATTACCGTTGTAGGTGGTTGAGTTGTTCGTCGCGTTGTCGATAATGTACTGGAATGTGTGGTGACTAGGGTCGTAGTTAATGACGTAGTCTGTTTCTACATTAGAAGTTGAAAAAAAACATTAATGTCTTTATAATATACCGTTTGAATAATTGTAGACAAGATATACAGCCGAAATTCATAAAGGACGCATCTCAATTTTTTTTGCTAGCTTCAAAGCTTTACCGTGGTAGGTTGTTGGCTTGTCTGCAGCGTTGTCAATATTGTAGTTGGCTGTGTGGTCGCTAGTGTGGATTTGTCGGTTGTGCTCTGTGTAGGTAAAATAGTTGGGGACATCGTTGTTCTAAGACTTGTACTTAATGACGTAGTCTGTTCCTGCATTAAAAGTTGCATAAAGACGTTCATATATTTATCATATACCGTTTGGATATTTGTAAACAAGAGATGCAGCCGAAACTTATAAAAGAATATTCAATCTTAAAAATAAACCGTTTAAAGAAGCTCAATGGGAGATGATTTTAAAGCACCTCGATTCTGTTTTGTTGCTAGCTTTACCGTTGTAGGTAGTTGGCTTGTCCGCAGCGTTGTCAATATTGTAGTTGACTGTGTGGTCGCTTTTGTGGATTGGTCGGTTGTCCTCATTGTATTCAATTCAGTTGTGGGCTTGAGTGTGGATTCATCAGTTGTCTTTCGTGAAGTTGAAATAATTGTGGACCTTGTTGATTCATGGCTTGTACATAATGCACTCTGCATTTGCATTGAATAAAGAGGAAACGTTTATGTTTGTGTCGTGTACGTTGATATCATCATACTTGTAAGTTGTAGCAATCTTTCATGTTTTTATCATGTACCGTTTGCAGTTGAAATTCATGAAGGAGGATTTTTGGGGGTTCTCAAAAACAAACCTTGAAGAGGAGCTTGAAAGGAGACGTTTTTTAGAGCACTTTAATTCTTTTTGTTTGCTTGCTTTACCGTAGTAGGTAGTTGAGTCGTCCGTAGCGTTGTCGATACTGTAGTTGGCTGTGTGGTTGCTTGTGTAGATTGGTCGGTTGTCCTCAGCGTAGTCAGTTCAGTTGTGGGCATGAGTGTGGATTCATCAGTTGTCTTTCGTGAAGTTGAAATAATTGTGGACCTTGTTGATTCATGGCTTGTACTTAATGCACTCTGCATTTGCATTGAATAAAGAGGAAACGTTTATGTTTGTGTCGTGTGCGTTGATATCATCATACTTGTAAGTTGTAGCAATCTTTCATGTTTTTATCATGTACCGTTTGCAGTTGAAATTCATGAAGGAGGATTTTCGGGGGTTCTCAAAAACAAACCTTGAAGGGGAGCTTAAAAGGAGACGGTTTTAAAGCACTTTAATTCTTTTTGTTGCTAGCTTTACCGTAGTAGGTAGTTGAGTCGTCTGTAGCGTTGTCGATACTGTAGTTGGCTGTGTGGTTGCTTGTGTAGATTGGTCGGTTGTCCTCAGCGTAGTCAGTTCAGTTGTGGGCATGAGTGTGGATTCATCAGTTGTCTTTCGTGAAGTTGGAATAATTGTGGACATCGTTGATTTATGGCTTGTACTTAATGCACTCTGCATCTGCATTAAATAAAGAGGAAACGTTTATGTTTGTGTCGTGTGAGCTGTTATCATACTCATATTTTGTAGCAATTTGAAATGTCATGGGAGAAGAATTTTAACGTCTTGTAAGGAGAAAAAGACGACTATAAAAAGCTTAATTTGGACAAGGGTTCAGATCATTTTGATGCTTTACCGAAGCAATAGGCTGTGTTTCCATACAGTTGCTAATAATGTTGTTGGCTGTGTGGTCAGTCGTCTTGCGTGCAGTCAGTTCTAGTCATCATTGTTCTAAGACTTGGACTTTAATAATATAGTCTTCGTCATCATTAAAAGTTGAAAAAAGACTTTTATGTTTTATCCGTTAGGATTATTGTGGATTCAATGCCGTCGACACTCTGGGACAACTTGAAAAGAAACAGTGAGGGAAAGCTTTAAAAGAGGCGGTTTTAAGGCACCTTAATCCTTTTTTTCTAGCTTTACCGTAGTAGGTAGTTGGCTTGTCCTCAGTGTTGTCAACATTGTAGTTGGTTGTGTGGTCGCTAGTGTTGATTCGTCGGTTGTCTTTCGTGTAGGTAAAATAGTTGGGGACATCGTTGTTGTAGGACTTGTACTTAATGACGTAGTCTTTTCCTGCATTAAACGTTGGAAAAAGACGTCCATGTTTTTATCATATACCGTTTGGATAGTTGTAAACAAGAGATGCAGTCGAAACTCATTAAAGAGGATTTTTTGGTTTCTTATAAAAACCTTAAAGAGGAGCTTAAAAGGAGACGGCTTTAAAAGCACTTTAATTCTTTTTGTTGCTAGCTTTACCGTAGTAGGTAGTTGAGTCGTCCGTAGCGTTGTCGATACTGTAGTTGGCTGTGTGGTTGCTTGTGTAGACTGGTCGGTTGTTCCAAGCGTAGTCAGTTCAGTTGTGGGCATGAGTGTGGATTCATCAGTTGTCTTTCGTGAAGTTGGAATAATTGTGGACATCGTTGATTTATGACTTGTACTTAATGCACTCTGCATCTGCATTAAATAAAGAGGAAACGTTTATGTTTGTGTCGTGTGAGCTGTTATCATACTTATATTTTGTAGCAATTTGAAATGTCATGCGAGAAGAATTTTAAAATCTTGTAAGGAGAAAAAGACGACTATTAAAAGGCTTAATGTGGACAAAGGTTTCAGTTCGTTCCGATGCTTTACCGAAGCAATAGGCTGTTTTCCATACAGTTGCTAATAATGTTGTTGGCTGTGTGGTCAGTCGTCTTGCGTGTAGTCAGTTCTAGTCGTCATTGTTCTAAGACTTTGACTTTAATAATATAGTCTTCGTCAACATTAAAAGTTGAAAAAAAGACTTTTATGTATTATCCGTTAGGATTATTGTAGACATATAATGCCGTCGACACTCTTCTACAACTTAAGAAGAAACAGTGAGGAAAAGCTTAAAAGGAGGCGATTTCTAAAGCACCTTAATCCTTTTTTTTCTAGCTTTACCGTAGTAGGTAGTTGGCTTGTCCTCAGTGTTGTCAACATTGTAGTTGGTTGTGTGGTCGCTAGTGTTGATTCGTCGGTTGTCTGTCGTGTAGGTAAAATAGTTGGGGACATCGTTGTTGTAGGACTTGTACTTAATGACGTAGTCTTTTCCTGCATTAAACGTTGGAAAAAGACGTCCATGTCTTTATCATATACCGTTTGGATAGTTGTAAACAAGAGATGCAGTCGAAACTCATTAAAGAGGATTTTTTGGTTCTCAAAATCAAGCCGTGAACAGGAGCTTAAAAGGAGACGGTTTTAAAAGCAATTTAATTCTTTTTTGTTGCTAGCTTTACCGTAGTAGGTAGTTGGGTCGTCCGTAGCGTTGTTGATACTGTAGTTGGCTGTGTGGTTGCTTGTGTAGATTGGTCGGTTGTCCCAAGCGTAGTCAGTTCAGTTGTGGGCATGAGTGTGGATTCATCAGTTGTCTTTCGTGAAGTTGGAATAATTGTGGACATCGTTGATTCATGGCTTGTACTGAATGCACTCTGCACCCGCATTAAATAAAGAGGAAAAAATATGTTTGTGTCGTGTGCGCTGATATCATCATACTTATTAATTGTAGCAATGAAGAAATGTCATGCCAGAAGGTTTCTGAAGCTTAGTAAGGAAACAAAGACCACTGTAAATCAAGCTTAATTTAGACAAGAGTTAAACTTCGTTCTGTTGTTTTACCGACGTAATGGGCTGTGTTTCCGTAGAGTTTCCAAGATTGTTGCTTCCTGTGTAGTCATCAGTGTGGATTCGTCAGTCGTCTTGTGTGTAGCCAGAACAGTTGGGGTCATTGTTGATGTAAGACTTGTACTTAATATAGTCTTCGTCAACATTAAAAGTGAAAAAAAATTTTGATGTCTTTTCCGTTGGAATAATTGTAGACATAAAAGCCGTCAAAACTTTGGGACAACTTAAAAAGAAACAGTGACGAGAAGCTTAAAAGGAGGCGGTTTTTAAAGCACCTTATCCCTTGTTTTTGCTAGCTTTACCGTAGTAGGTAGTTGGCTTGTCCGCAGCGTTGTCACCATTGTAGTTTGCTGTGTGGTCGCTAGTGTGGATTTGTCTGTTGTCCTCTGTGTAGGCAAAATAGTTGGGGACATCGTTGTTCTAATACTTGTGCTCAATGACGTAGTCTTTTCCTGCATTAAAAGTTGAAAAAAGACATTCATGTTTCATCATGTACCGTTTGGAATATTGTAGACAGAGATGCAGTTGAAATTCATGAAAGAGGATTTTTGGGGTTCTTAAAAGCAAACCTTGAAGAGGAGCTTAAAAGGAGACGGTTTTTAAAGCACTTTAATTCTTTTTGTTGCTAGCTTTACCGTAGTAGGTAGTTGAGTCGTCCGTAGCGTTGTCGATACTGTAGTTGGCTGTGTGGTTGCTTGTGTAGATTGGTCGGTTGTCCTCAGCGTAGTCAGTTCAGTTGTGGGCATGAGTGTGGATTCATCAGTTGTCTTTCGTGAAGTTGGAATAATTGTGGACATCGTTGATTTATGACTTGTACTTAATGCACTCTGCATCTGCATTAAATAAAGAGGAAACGTTTATGTTTGTGTCGTGTGAGCTGTTATCATACTTATATTTTGTAGCAATTTGACATGTCATGCGAGAAGAATTTTAACGTCTTGTAAGGAGAAAAAGACGACTATAAAAAGCTTAATTTGGACAAGGGTTCAGATCATTTTGATGCTTTACCGAAGCAATAGGCTGTGTTTCCATACAGTTGCTAATAATGTTGCTGGCTGTGTGGTCAGTCGTCTTGCGTGTAGTCAGTTCTAGTCGTCATTGTTCTAAGACTTTGACTTTAATAATATAGTCTTCGTCAACATTAAAAGTTGAAAAATAGACTTTTATGTATTATCCGTCAGAATTATTGTAGACATATAATGCCGTCGACAATCTTCTACAACTTAAGAAGAAACAGTGAGGAAAAGCTTAAAAGGAGGTGGTTTTGAAAGCACCTTAATCCTTTTTTTCTAGCTTTACCGTAGTAGGTTGTTGGCTTGTCCTCAGCGTTGTCAACATTGTAGTTGGTTGTGTGGTCGCTAGTGTTGATTCGTCGGTTGTCTTTCGTGTAGGTAAAATAGTTGGGGACATCGTTGTTGTAGGACTTGTACTTAATGACGTAGTCTTTTCCTGCATTAAAAGTTGGAAAAAGACGTGCATGTCTTTATCATATACCGTTTGGATAGTTGTAAACAAGAGATGCAGTCGAAACTCATTAAAGAGGATTTTTTTGGTTCTCAAAATCAAGCCGTGAACAGGAGCTTAAAAGGAGACGGTTTTAAAAGCAATTTAATTCTTTTTTGTTGCTAGCTTTACCTTAGTAGGTAGTTGAGTCGTCCGTAGCGTTGTTGATACTGTAGTTGGCTGTGTGGTTGCTTGTGTAGATTGGTCGGTTGTCCTCAGCGTAGTCAGTTCAGTTGTGGGCATGAGTGTGGATTCATCAGTTGTCTTTCGTGAAGTTGGAATAATTGTGGACATCGTTGATTTATGGCTTGTACTTAACGAACTTTGCATCTGCATGGAATAAAGAGGAAAAAATCATGTTTAAAGTTAAAACTTTTGATCAAACACAAAAATTCTCTCACCTAGAGCTTTCGACCAGTCACTCTGGTCTTCCTTAGTAGACTGACCCAGTGAAGCTTGTCACGTGGTTGAAGTGTAACGTCAACACTGGGCCAAAGGTTGACGTCAGTGTTGACGTCACACTTCAAAGAAGCCACGTGACAAGCTTCACTGGGTCAGTCTACTGAGGAAGACCAGAGTGACTGGTCGAAAGCTCTAGGTGAGAGAAGTTTTGTGTTGGATCAAAAGTTTAACTTTAAACATGTAACTACCAACACAGATGAACTTTCATGATAGGAAAAAAAATCATGTTTGCGCCATGTTCGTTGATTATACTGGTGAGTTGTAGCAAGTTGAAACGTCATACCGAAAGGATTTCAAAGGCTAGGATAAAGACAAAGACGACTGTAAATAAATTGGGCAATAGTTTAAGTTTGTTTTGTTGCTTTACCTAAGTAATAGGCTATGTTTGCGATGCCGGTGTGATCATGAGTGTGGATTCGTGACTCGTGCTGTGCACGTGTGTAGTCAAAACATTTTGAGGCATTGTACTAAGACTTGTACTTAATATAGTCTTCGTCAACATTAAAAGTTGAAAAAAGAACTTTCATGTCTTTTCTGTTAGGATAACATAAGATGCAGTCGAAACTCGGAAAGAAGATTTCTGGGACAACTTGGGGACATCTCTGGTCTGCTGCTATGTTCGCATGTACACTTGAGCTGTTGCACTTTGAAACATCATTCTAAGGAACTTTGAAGACAGAAGCTTAAAGACAGAAGAAAGAAAGAAAACTTAGACAATTTTACTTAGATCATAATTTAACTTTCTTTTGATGTTTTACCGATGTGGTACGCTGTGTTGTCCGTAGCGTTGTGAATGGTGTCGTTGGCTCTGTGGTAAACGATGTGGTTTCGTTAGTCCTCTCTTCTGTGGGTAGGACTGTTGGGGGCATTGTAGTCTGTTTCTGGATAATAAGTGGGGAAACACAACATTTGCGTCCTTTCTGATTGTATAATAGTAGATATTACATGTATAGATAAAACTTACGGAATTCGGTGAAATTATGGTCACAAACAAAATCCGAGTCAGGTGTCTGCGCCTGGGGTTTGTGTCTTTTGCGATATCATTGTCACAGACAAAAGATGCAGTTAATAGTCATGTTAGAAGAATTTTTGAATGGTCGCAGCAGGCAAAAGTCCATAAACCGTTTAATAAAAGTTTTGAAGGCAATGTGTTATATGGAAGTCTAAGTTTGTTCTGGTGCTTTACCGTGGTAAGTTCTTGTGTTGTACTTAGCGTGGCCAATACTGTAGTTGGACGTGTGGTTACTACTACTAGTGTGAATTCGTCGGTCGTTCTCTGTGTTGTCAATAAAGTTGTTGGCATTTTTGTTTTAAGACTTGTACTTAATGTAGTCTTTGTATGCGTCAAATTCTATAAAGGACGAATTTTGTTCATTTAGCGATATTAGGTCACAGACAAAAGATGTACTTAATAGTCATATTAGAAGAATTCGGAAGATCGCAGAAGGAAATCGTTAAGAAATCGTCAAGAAAGGAATGTTTTATAGCAGTTCAAGTCTGTTTTGTTGCTTTACCGTAGTAGGTTCTTGTGTTGTACTTAGCGTGGTCAATACTGTAGTTGGACGTGTGGTTACTAGTGTAGATTCGTCGGTTGTTCTCTGCGTTGTCAAACTAGTTGTATGCCTTGTTGTTTTAAGACTTGTAGTTGTACTTAATGTAGTCTTTGTCTACGTACAAATTAAAAAAAAAGAACCGACATTTGTTTATTTCGCGAAATTATGGTCACAGACAAAAGATGGAGTTAATAGTCATGTAAGAAGAATTTTGAAGGATCACAGAAGGGAGTCTTTAAGAAGTTGTTGTTAAGTGTGGTAGTCAACCGTAGTAGGTGAAGGATATTAATGATAGTCTAAACTAGCACACCGTTATATGATAATTATCAGTACAACAATCCTCCTTACCGTCGTTCGGTCGGTCGTCGATTTTGTGGTAGGATTATTTGTTGTCAGTAAGGTCGTCTGGTTTGTTAAATCCGTTGTTCGTGGATGAGTGGTTGGATCTTTCGTGGTTGGGATTGTTGTTTTGCGTGTACTTTTGAGTGTCGTTAAGATTGTTGTTCGTGGATGAGTGGTTGGATCTTTCGTGGTCGGGATTGTTGTTATGTGTGTACTTTTGAGTGTCGTTAAGATTGTTGTTGGGGGCACAGTTGTTTCGTTTGTTCTCTCTTCTGTGGGTAGAACTGTTGGAGGCATTGTAGTCTGTTTCTGGATAATAAGTGGAAAAAACACAACATTTGTGTCCTTTTTAATTGGATAATAGTAGATATTAGATGTATAGATAAAACTTACGTTAGAAGAATTCGGTGAAATTATGGTCACAAACAAAATCCGAGTTAATACTCATATTAGTTATAAAATATTGTACTCTGTATCTAAATAGAATAAAGAAAAAATACTCAATATATTATTATACATGTCATATATAATTCTATATATCATATTATACTACTCATTATTCATCGGTTCTCCTTTGCATTGTAAGATCAATAGTTGTGGGCATTGTTGTTTTATGATTTTTACTTAATATAGTAGGCGCCTGCGACCGTCGTTTGTGTCTTTTGCGATATCATTGTCACAGACGAAAGATGCAGTTAATAGTCATGTTAGAAGAATTTTTGAATGGTCGCAGCAGGCAAAAGTCCATAAACCGTTTAATAAAAGTTTTGAAGGCAATGTGTTATATGGAAGTCTAAGTTTGTTCTGGTGCTTTACCGTAGTAGGTTCTTGTGTTGTACTTAGCGTGGTCGATACTGTAGTTGGACGTGTGGTTACTAGTGTAGATTCGTCGGTTGTTCTCTGCGTTGTCAAACTAGTTGTGTGCCTTGTTGTTTTAAGACTTGTACTTAATGTAGTCTTTGTCTACGTCAAATTAAAAAACACCGACATTTGTTTATTTCGCGAAATTATGGTCACAGACAAAAGATGGAGTTAATAGTCATGTAAGAAGAATTTTGAAGGATCACAGAAGGGAGTCTTTAAGAAGTTGTTGTTAAGTCTGGTAGTCAACCGTAGTAGGTGAAGGATATTAATGATAGTCTAACCTAGCACACCGTTATATGATAATTATCAGTACAACAATCCTCCTTACCGTCGTTCGGTCGGTCGTCGATTTTGTGGTAGGATTATTTGTTGTCAGTAAGGTCGTCTGGTTTGTTAAATCCGTTGTTCGTGGATGAGTGGTTGGATCTTTCGTGGTCGGGATTGTTGTTTTGTGTGTACTTTTGAGTGTCGTTAAGATTGTTGTTCGTAGATGAGTAGTTGGATCTTTCGTGGTCGGGATTGTTGTTTTGTGTGTGCTTTTGAGTGTGGTTAAGATTGTTGTTCGTGGATGAGTAGTTGGATCTTTCGTGGTCGGGATTGTTGTTTTGTGTGTACTTTTGAGTGTCGTTAAGATTGTTGTTCGTGGATGAGTAGTTGGATCTTTCGTGGTCGGGATTGTTGTTTTGCGTGTACTTTTGAGTGTCGTTAAGATTGTTGTTCGTGGATGAGTAGTTGGATCTTTCGTGGTCGGGATTGTTGTTTTGTGTGTACTTTTGAGTGTCGTTAAGATTGTTGTTGGGGGCACAGTTGTTTCGTTTGTTCTCTCTTTTGTGGGTAGAACTGTTGGAGGCATTGTAGTCTGTTTCTGGATAATAAGTGGGAAAAACACAACATTTGTGTCCTTTTTAATTGGATAATAGTAGATATTAGATGTAACTTACGTTAGAAGAATTCGGTGGAATTATGGTCACAAACAAAATCCGAGTTAATAGTCATATGAGTTATAAAATGTTGTACTCTGAACCTAAATAGAATAAAGAAAAAATACTCAATATATTATTATACATGTCATATATAATTCTATATATCATATTTTTTTAAACCGAATTTAACGTCATTTTTCCCCAACCGGGGGTTAGACGTGCTTGCACCAGGTACAAGTCTTTTGTTGAGACAAGATTTTTACGGCTGGATGCTCTTCCTAACGCCAACCCAAACCCTAGTAGGGTCCAGGAACCCTCTAACTGAGGGGGGAAATGCCTTTCCCAAGGGCACAACGTCTGGGTGCAATTCTACTTAGATCATAATTTAACTTTCTTTTGATGTTTTACCGATGTGGTACGCTGTGTTGTCCGTAGCGTTGTGAATGGTGTCGTTGGCTGTGTGGTAAACGATGTGGTTTCGTTAGTTCTCTCTTCTGTGGGTAGAACTGTCGGTTGTATTGTAGTCTGTTTCTGGATGATAAGTGGGGAAAAACACAACATTTGTGTTAAGCTGGTCTAAGCTAGCACACCGTTATATGATAATTATCAGTACAACAATCCTCCTTACCGTCGTTCGGTCGGTCGTCGATTTGTGGTAGGGAGTTATTTGTTGTTCAGTAAGGTCNGCTTTAAAAGAGGCGGTTTTAAAGCACCTTAATCCTTTTTTTCTAGCTTTACCGTAGTAGGTAGTTGGCTTGTCCTCAGTGTTGTCAACATTGTAGTTGGTTGTGTGGTCGCTAGTGTTGATTCGTCGGTTGTCTTTCGTGTAGGTAAAATAGTTGGGGACATCGTTGTTGTAGGACTTGTACTTAATGACGTAGTCTTTTCCTGCATTAAACGTTGGAAAAAGAAGTCCATGTTTTTATCATATACCGTTTGGATAGTTGTAAACAAGAGATGCAGTCGAAACTTATTAAAGAGGATTTTTTTTGGTTCTTCAAAATCAAGCCGTGAACAGGAGCTTAAAAGGAGACGGTTTTAAAAGCACTTTAATTCTTTTTGTTGCTAGCTTTACCGTAGTAGGTAGTTGAGTCGTCCGTAGCGTTGTTGATACTGTAGTTGGCTGTGTGGTTGCTTGTGTAGATTGGTCGGTTGTCCCAAGCGTAGTCAGTTCAGTTGTGGGCATGAGTGTAGATTCATCAGTTGTCTTTCGTGAAGTTGGAATAATTGTGGACATCGTTGATTTATGGCTTGTTCTTAACGAACTTTGCATCTGCATGGAATAAAGAGGACAAAATCATGTTTAAAGTTAAAACTTTTGATCCAACACAAAACTTCTCTCACCTAGAGACCAGTCACTCTGGTCTTCCTCAGTAGACTGACCCAGTGAAGCTTGTGGCTTCTTTGAAGTGTAACGTCAACACTGGGCCAAAGGTTGACGTCAGTGTTGACGTCACACTTCAAAGAAGTCACGTGACAAGCTTCACTGGGTCAGTCTACTGAGGAAGACCAGAGTGACTGGTCGAAAGCTCTAGGTGAGAGAAGTTTTGTGTTGGATCAAAAGTTTTAACTTTAAACATGTAACTACCAACACAGATGAACTTTCATGATAGGAAAAAAATCATGTTTGCGCCATGTTCGTTGATTATACTGATGAGTTGTAGCAAGTTGAAACGTCATACCGAAAGGATTTCAAAGGCTAGGATAAAGACAAAGACGACTGTAAATAAATTGGGCAATAGTTTAAGTTTGTTTTGTTGCTTTACCTTAGTAATAGGCTATGTTTGCGATGCCGGTGTGATCATGAGTGTGGATTCGTGACTCGTGCTGTGCACGTGTGTAGTCAGAACATTTTGAGGCATTGTACTAAGACTTGTACTTAATATAGTCTTCGTCAACATTAAAAGTTGAAAAAGAACTTTCATGTCTTTTCTGTTAGGATAACATAAGATGCAGTCGAAACTCGGAAAGAAGATTTCTGGGACAACTTGGGGACATCTCTGGTCTGCTGCTATGTTCGCATGTACACTTGAGCTGTTGCACTTTGAAACATCATTCTAAGGAACTTTGAAGACAGAAGCTTAAAGACAGAAGAAAGAAAGAAGACTTAAGACAATTTTACTTAGATCATAATTTAACTTTCTTTTGATGTTTTACCGATGTGGTACGCTGTGTTGTCCGTAGCGTTGTGAATGGTGTCGTTGGCTGTGTGGTAAACGATGTGGTTTCGTTAGTCCTCTCTTCTGTGGGTAGGACTGTTGGGGGCATTGTAGTCTGTTTCTGGATAATAAGTGGGGAAACACAACATTTGCGTCCTTTCTGATTGTATAATAGTAGATATTACATGTATAGATAAAACTTACGGAATTCGGTGAAATTATGGTCACAACAAAATCCGAGTTAGGTGTCTGCGCCTGGGGTTTGTGTCTTTTGCGATATCATTGTCACAGACAAAAGATGCAGTTAATAGTCATGTTGGAAGAATATTTGAATGGTCGCAGCAGGCAAAAGTCAATAAACCGTTTAATAAAAGTTTTCAAGGCAATGTGTTATATGGAAGTCTAAGTTTGTTCTGGTGTTTTACCGTGGTAAGTTCTTGTGTTGTATTTAGCGTGGTCAATACTGTAGTTGGACGTGTGGTTACTACTACTAGTGTGAATTCGTCGGTCGTTCTCTGTGTTGTCAATAAAGTTGTTGGCATTTTGTTTTAAGACTTGTACTTAATGTAGTCTTTGTATGCGTCAAATTCTATAAAGGACGAATTTTGTTCATTTAGCGATATTAGGTCACAGACAAAAGATGTAGTTCATAGTCATATTAGAAGAATTCGGAAGATCGCAGAAGGAAATCGTTAAGAAATCGTCAAGAAAGGAATGTTTTATAGCAGTTCAATTCTGTTTTGTTGCTTTACCGTAGTAGGTTCTTGTGTTGTACTTAGCGTGGTCGATACTGTAGTTGGACGTGTGGTTACTAGTGTAGATTCGTCGGTTGTTCTCTGCGTTGTCAAACTAGTTGTATGCCTTGCTGTTTTAAGACTTGTAGTTGTACTTAATGTAGTCTTTGTCTACGTCAATTATAAAAGACCGACATTTGTTTATTTCGCGAAATTATGGTCACAGACAAAAGATGGAGTTAATAGTCATGTAAGAAGAATTTTGAAGGATCACAGAAGGGAGTCTTTAAGAAGTTGTTGTTAAGTCTGGTAGTCAACCGTAGTAGGTGAAGGATATTATTGATAGTCTAACCTAGCACACCGTTATATGATAATTATCAGTACAACAATCCTCCTTACCGTAGTTCGGTCGGTCGTCGATTTTGTGGTAGGATTATTTGTTGTCAGTAAGGTCGTCTGGTTTGTTAAATCCGTTGTTCGTGGATGAGTGGTTGGATCTTTCGTGGTCGGGATTGTTGTTATGTGTGTACTTTTGAGTGTCGTTAAGATTGTTGTTGGGGGCACAGTTGTTTCGTTTGTTCTCTCTTCTGTGGGTAGAACTGTTGGAGGCATTGTAGTCTGTTTCTGGATAATAAGTGGAAAAACACAACATTTGTGTCCTTTTAATTGGATAATAGTAGATATTAGATGTATAGATAAAACTTACGTTAGAAGAATTCGGTGAAATTATGGTCACAAACAAAATCCGAGTTAATACTCATATTAGTTATAAATATTGTACTCTGTATCTAAATAGAATAAAGAAAAAATACTCAATATATTATTATACATGTCATATATAATTCTATATATCATATTATACTACTCATTATTCATCGGTTCTCCTTTGCATTGTAAGATCAATAGTTGTGGGCATTGTTGTTTTATGATTTTTACTTAATATAGTAGGCGCCTGCGACCGTCGTTTGTGTCTTTTGCGATATCATTGTCACAGACGAAAGATGCAGTTAATAGTCATGTTAGAAGAATTTTTGAATGGTCGCAGCAGGCAAAAGTCCATAAACCGTTTAATAAAGTTTTGAAGGCAATGTGTTATATGGAAGTCTAAGTTTGTTCTGGTGCTTTACCGTAGTAGGTTCTTGTGTTGTACTTAGCGTGGTCGATACTGTAGTTGGACGTGTGGTTACTAGTGTAGATTCGTCGGTTGTTCTCTGCGTTGTCAAACTAGTTGTGTGCCTTGTTGTTTTAAGACTTGTACTTAATGTAGTCTTTGTCTACGTCAAATTAAAAAACACCGACATTTGTTTATTTCGCGAAATTATGGTCACAGACAAAAGATGGAGTTAATAGTCATGTAAGAAGAATTTTGAAGGATCACAGAAGGGAGTCTTTAAGAAGTTGTTGTTAAGTCTGGTAGTCAACCGTAGTAGGTGAAGGATATTAATGATAGTCTAACCTAGCACACCGTTATATGATAATTATCAGTACAACAATCCTCCTTACCGTCGTTCGGTCGGTCGTCGATTTTGTGGTAGGATTATTTGTTGTCAGTAAGGTCGTCTGGTTTGTTAAATCCGTTGTTCGTGGATGAGTGGTTGGATCTTTCGTGGTCGGGATTGTTGTTTTGTGTGTACTTTTGAGTGTCGTTAAGATTGTTGTTCGTAGATGTGTAGTTGGATCTTTCGTGGTCGGGATTGTTGTTTTGTGTGTGCTTTTGAGTGTGGTTAAGATTGTTGTTCGTGGATGAGTAGTTGGATCTTTCAAAGTCGGGATTGTTGTTTTGTGTGTACTTTTGAGTGTCGTTAAGATTGTTGTTCGTGGATGAGTAGTTGGATCTTTCGTGGTCGGGATTGTTGTTTTGTGTGTGCTTTTGAGTGTGGTTAAGATTGTTGTTCGTGGATGAGTAGTTGGATCTTTCGTGGTCGGGATTGTTGTTTTGTGTGTACTTTTGAGTGTCGTTAAGATTGTTGTTCGGGGCACAGTTGTATTGATTGCTGTAATGTCAGTGGTAACTGCTGTTGTTTTTGGTTCTGTTGTAAGGTTTGGGGTCGTCTGAGACGTTGTTAAATCTGTGGTAACTGTTGTTTCGGGAACTGCGGTAGGTGTTGGTGTCGTCTCTATCGTTGTAAAATCCGTGGTAGCTGTTGTTTTGAGAACTGTTGTAGGGTTTGACGTCGAATGTATTGTTATTGAATCTGTATTTAAAGTCGTAGGATCCTTTGTGGTCGGTATTGTCGTCAACTTAGATGTTAGAGGCTCAGAGGTAGGAGTTGGGGTCGTCTGGGCTGTTGTTAAATCCGTGGTAAGTCTTGTTGTTCTTAGACTTGTACTTAATGTAGTCTGTGTCTGCGTCAAAATGGAAGGAGAACAACGTTTGTGTCTTTTGCCATGTCATAATCTTGGCTCTAAAAGTAATAAGATCTCATGTTTAAGGAGTCTTGATTGAAAGTAAAAGAGGACAGTGACTAAACTGTCAAGATATGCTGGAAAAAGTGTGTGTTTTCAAAACAATTCCAGTCTATTGCCTAACACTACGAGGGGGTTGAGTTCTTAATACTGTAGTTGGACGTGTGGTAATTAGTGTGGATTTTTCGGTTTTCTGTGTCGTCAGAAACGTTTTGGGTATTGTTGTTCTATGACTTATGCTTAGTGTAGCCAGTGTCTGTGTCAAATTAAAAAAAATACCGACGTTTGTGTCTTTTGCGATATTTTTCTCACAGACAAAAGATGTACTTAATATAGATGTTAAAAGAGTTTTAAAAGATCGCAAGAGGGAAACAGCTAAGAAAAGTTTAAAAAGCAACACTTAATGGAAGTTCATATCTGTTGTTTTGCTTTACCGTAGTAGTCGGATGAGTTGTAATTAGCGATGTCGACCCTGTAGTTGGACGTGTGGTCACCAGTGTGGATTCGTCAGTTGTCCTCTGTGTTGTCAGAAAAGTTGTGGGTATTGTTGCTCTATCACTTGTGTTTAGTGTAGTCAGTGTCTGCTTCAAATTAAAAAAGACCGACGTTGCGATATTATTGGCACAGATATAAAAGATGTAGTTAAAAGTCATGTAAGAGGAATGTTGAAAGATCGCGAAAGGCAACAGTAAAAAAACAATCGTCAATAAAAGTTTAAAAAGCAATCATTATATGTTTCATGGCAGTTCAAGTCTGCTTGGTTGCTTTACCGTAGTAGCTGGTTGTGTTGTACTTAGCGTGGTTAATACTATAGTTGGACGTGTGGTTACTAGTGTGGAGTCATCGGTTGACCTCTGCGTTGTCTGAAAAGTTGTAGGCCTTGTTGTTTTAAAAGATGTACTTAATGTAATCTGTGTCTGCGTCAGTAGTGAAACATTTGTGTTCTTTGTCTTGTAAAAGTAAAAAATGGAAGTAAAAATAACAGTAAATAACCGTCAAGAAAGAATTAAAAAAAAAGACTTTTTGACAAAGATTTGAAAGACTATAAAGAAGACAAAGACCCCAGGAAAATAAAGCTTAATTGGGGACAACGTTTTGATAATGTATTTAGATTGTTTTTCCGTTTTACCGTAATGGTAGGCTGTGTTGTCCGTAGCGTTGTTATTAATGTAGTTGGCTGTGTGGTCACTAGTGTGGATTCGTCGGTTGTCGATAACGTGGTTGACTGTGTGTTCATGAGTGTGGATTCGTCAGTTGTTTTGTGTGAAGTTTCAACAGTTGTAGGCAATGTCGTTTTATAACTTGTACTTAATGTAGTTTGTCTCTGCATTGAATTCAGAAAAAGAACCATGTATACGTCAATTACGTTCTTAGGATTGTTAAACAAGAGCTTCAGTTAAAATTCATAAGGAGTCGGGCAGCTAGGAAATAAAACAGTTATAAAATTTCCAAATCTGTTTTGTAGTTTTACCGTTGTAGGTGGTTGAGTTGTTCGTCGCGTTGTCGATACTGTACTGGACTGTGTGGTGAGTAGGGTCGATTTGTCTGTTGTGCTATGTGTTGTCAGAACTGTTGTGGGTATTGTTGTTTCATGAGTTGTGCTTAAAGTACTCTCCATCTGCATGAAGTAAAGAGGGGAAGTGATGTTTGTGCCATATGCGCAGTCTTTATTGTAAACATGAGCTTTAGTAAAACGCCATGTGACAAAGATTTGAAAGACTATAAAGAAGACCAAACCACAGCAAAAAGAAAGCTTAATTGAGAAGAATGTTTTGATAATGTATTTAGATTGTTTTTCTGTCTTACCGTAGTGGTAGGCTGTGTTGTCCGTAGTATTGTCATTAATGTACTTGGGTGTGTGGTCACTTGTGAGGATTCGTCGGTTGTTGATATTGTGGTTGGCTGTGTAGTCATGAGAGTGGATTCGACGGTTGTCGATAACGTGGTTGACTGTGTGGTCATGAGTGTGGATTCGTCAGTTGTCTTGTGTGAAGTTTCAACAGTTGTAGGCAATGTCGTTTTATAACTTGTACTTAATGTAGTTTGTCTCTGCATTGAATTCAGAAAAAGAACCATGTATACGTCAATTACGTCCTTAGGATGGTAAAACAAGAGCTTCAGTTAAAAGTCACAAGGAGTCGGGCAGCTATAGGGAATAAAACAGTTATAAAATTTCCAAGTCTGTTTTGTAGTATTACCGTTGTAGGTGGTTGAGTTGTTCGTCGCGGTGTCGATACTGTACTGGACTGTGTGGTGACTAGGGTCGATTTGTCTGTTGTGCTTTGTGTTGTCAGAACTGTTGTGGGTATTGTTGTTTTATGACTTGTGCTTAAAGTACTCTCCATCTGCATGGAGTAAAGAGGGGAAGTGATGTTTGTGCCAAATGCGCAGTCTTTATCGTAAACATGAGCTTTAGTAAAACGCCATGTGACAAAGATTTCAAAGACTATAAAGAAGACCAAACCACAGCAAAAAGAAAGCTTAATTGAGAAGAATGTGTTGATAATGTATTTAGATTGTTTTTCTGTCTTACCGTAGTGGTAGGCTGTGTTGTCCGTAGTGTTGTCATTAATGTAGTTGGGTGTGTGGTCACTTGTGAGGATTCGTCAGTTGTCGATATTGTGGTTGGCTGTGTAGTCATGAGTGTGGATTCGTCACTTGTCTGGTGTGAAGTTATAACAGTTGTAGGCAATGTCGTTTTATAACTTGTACGTAATGTAGTTTGTCTCTGCATTGAATTCAGAAAAAGAACCATGTATACGTCAATTGCGTTCTTAGGATTGTTAAACAAGAGCTTCAGTTAAAAGTCATAAGGAGTCGGGCAGCTAGGAAATAAAACAGTTATAAAATTTCCAAGTCTGTTTTGTAGTATTACCATTGTAAATGGTTGAGTTGTTCGTCGCGGTGTCGATACTGTACTGGACTGTGTGGTGACTAGGGTCGATTTGTCTGTTCTGCTATGTGTTGTCAGAAGTGTTGTGGGTATTGTTGTTTTATGACTTGTGCTTAAAGTACTCTCCATCTGCATGGAGTAAAGAGGGGAAGTGATGTTTGTGCCATATGCGCAGTCTTTATTGTAAACATGAGCTTTAGTAAAACGCCATGTGACAAAGATTTCAAAGACTATAAAGAAGACCAAACCACAGCAAAAAGAAAGCTAATTGAGAAGAATGTTTTGATAATGTATTTAGATTGTTTTTCTGTCTTACCGTAGTGGTAGGCTGTGTTGTCCGTAGTGTTGTCATTAATGTAGTTGGGTGTGTGGTCACTTGTGTAGATTCGTCGGTTGTTGATATTGTGGTTGGCTGTGTAGTCATGAGAGTGGATTCGACGGTTGTCGATAACGTGGTTGACTGTGTGGTCATGAGTGTGGATTCGTCAGTTGTCTTGTGTGAAGTTTCAACAGTTGTAGGCAATGTCGTTTTATAACTTGTACTTAATGTAGTTTGTCTCTGCATTGAATTCAGAAAAAGAACCATGTATACGTCAATTACGTTCTTAGGATTTTAAAACAAGAGCTTCAGTTAAAATTTATAAGGAGTCGGGCAGCTAGGAAATAAAACAGTTATAAAATTTCCGAATCTGTTTTGTAGTATTACCGTTAAAGGTGGTTGAGTTGTTCGTCGCGATGTCGATACTGTACTGGACTGTGTGGTGACTAGGGTCGATTTGTCTGTTGTTCTATGTGTTGTCAGAACTGTTGTGGGTATTGTTGTCTTTTGAGTTGTGCTTAAAGTACTCTCCATCTGCATGGAGTAAAGAGGGGAAGTGATGTTTGTGCCATATGCGCAGTCTTTATTGTAAACATGAGCTTTAGTAAAACGCCATGTGACAAAGATTTCAAAGACTATAAAGAAGACCAAACCACAGAAAAAAGAAAGCTTAATTGACAAGAATGTTTTGATAATGTATTTAGATTGTTTTTCTGTCTTACCGTAGTGGTAGGCTGTGTTGTCCGTAGTGTTGTCATTAATGTACTTAGGTGTGTGGTCACTTGTGTGGATTCGTCGGTTGTTGATATTGTGGTTGGCTGTGTAGTCATGAGAGTGGATTCGACGGTTGTCGATAACGTGGTTGACTGTGTGGTCATGAGTGTGGATTCGTCAGTTGTCTTGTGTGAAGTTTCAACAGTTGTAGGCAATGTCGTTTTATAACTTGTACTTAATGTAGTTTGTCTCTGCATTGAATTCAGAAAAAGAACCATGTATACATCAATTACGTCCTTAGGATTGTAAAACAAGAGCATCAGTTAAAAGTCATAAGGAGTCGGGCAGCTAGGAAATAAAACAGTCATAAAATTTTCAAGTCTGTTTTGTAGTATTACCGTTGTAGGTGGTTGAGTTGTTCGTCGCCTTGTCGATACTGTACTGGACTGTGTGGTGACTAGGGTCGATTTGTCTGTTGTGCTTTGTGTTGTCAGAACTGTTGTGGGTATTGTTGTTTTATGACTTGTGCTTAAAGTACTTTCCATCTGAATGGAGTAAAGACGAGAACTGATGTTTGTGCCGTATGCTTTATCATGATAGAAAAGAATGACGCTCGTGCATTTTTTGATGTTATAATCATACTATTAGACAAAAGTTGGAATTAACACTCATGTTAGAATAGCTTTGTAGGTTCTTGAACAATCTTGAAAGAAACAGCTGCAGTGAAGAAACTGTGAAGACAAGTTTGAAATGAATAGGACTTTTTTTAGTTTTGATCAAACAGTTCAAGTCTGTACTTCTACTTAATGTAGTCTGTGTCTGCATCAAAAGGGAAGAAGAGCAACGTTTGTGTCTTTTGCCATGTATGTCATAACCTTGGCTTTAAAAGTAATAAAATCTCATGTTTAGGGAATCTTGAATGAAAGTAAAAGAGGACAGTGACTAAACCATCAAGAAAAGTTGAAAAGAAGTGGGTATATGTGTTTTCCAGTGTATTTTGTTGCCTTACAGTACTAGGGGGTTGAGTTGTCCTTTGCGTTGTCGATAGTGTTGTTAGTTGTGTGGTCACCAGTGTGGATTGGTTGGGTGTCCTCTGCGTTGTCAGAATAGATGTGGGTATTGCTGTTATATCACTTGTGCTTAATGTAGTCTTTGTCTGCGTCAAATTTAAAAAAAAAACGGCGTTTGTGTCTTTTGCGATATTTTTGTCGCAGACAAAAGATGTAGTTCTATAGTATTCATGTTAGAAGATTTTTGAAAGATCGCAAGAGGGAAACAGCCAAGAAAAGTTTAAACAGCAACGTTTAATGGAAGTTAATGTCTGTTTTGTTGTTTTACCGTAGTAGTAGGTTGAGTTGTAATTAGCATTGTCGATGTCATATTAGAAGAATTCGGAAAAACCGCAGAAGGAAATTGTTAAGAAATCGTCAAGAAAGGAATGTTTATAACATTTCAAGTCTGTTTTGTTGCTTTACCGTAGTAGGTTCTTGTGTTGTACTTAGCGTTGTCAATACTGTAACTGGACGTGAGGTTACTAGTGTAGATTCGTCGGTTGTTCTTTGCGTTGTCAGAACAGGTGTGGGTCTTGTAGTTTTATTACTCGTGCTTAATGTACTCTCCATCTATATTTAATAAGCAAGAAAAAATGATGTTTGTGCCATATGCACTGTGTAGACCGCACACGTGAGCTGTAGTAATGCGTCATGATAGAAAGATTTAGAAGGCTAGTTTGAAGACACAGAGGATAAGACTGTTTTTCCTGCTTTACCGTAGAGGTACGTTGTGTTGTCTGTGGTGTTGTCGATAACGTTGTTGGCTGTGTGGCCATATGCGTGGATTCGTCGGTTGTCGTATGTGTAGGTAGAACAGTTGGTGGCATTGTTGTTCGAGAATCTGTACGCAATCTAGCATGTGTCTACATGAGATGTGGAAAAATATGCAATTTTGTTTGTCGTTTGCTTTTTGGAATAATAGGAGATGTTGCTCAAACTCATTTTAGAAGAATTTCATGACAATGAAAGAAAAAATGTAATAAAACGATCAAGAACAGAAGAACAGTTGGGTATTTCTAATATACGTTCAAGTTTGTGTAGAAGTTGTTGTTTTACCGTATGAAGTGGTTGAGTCGTCCGTAGCATTGTCGGTATTGTACTTGGCTGTGTGGTTATTGGCGTGTATTTGTCAGTTGTGTTGTTTAAAATTATAGCATTTGTTGTTAGATGACTTGTGCTTAATGTAGTTTGTCTCTATATCGAATAAGGAAGAAGAAGGATGTTTATGTTAATTGCGTTGTTAAGATCACAGACATGCATTGCAGTCATAAAGTCATTCTTGAATGATTTCGACAGGTTGTAAATAAAACCAAGGCTCCCAGATAAAAACAGTTATGAAGATGTAAAGAACAGTTTAACGGGATCTGGGTAATTTTGATGATCTTTGATAGCTATTTTGTCGTTATACCGTTCTAGGTGGTTGAGTTGTTCGTCGTGTCGTCGGTAGTGTACTTAGCTCTGTGGTCACTAGTGTTGATTTGTCGGTTGTTCTCTGTGTAGTCAGAACGGTTGTGGGCATTGTTGTACTATGACTTGTACTTAATATAGTCTGTGTCTGCATCAATATAGAAAAGCTCATGCTCATGCATTTTTACTCCGTGAAGGAGGTCAGGACCTCCGGACGGAGTGTTGTAATCGGCTGATTTTTCATGTTCGCAGTCAAAACACTGGGTTCTCTTTGTGTAATCGGCACGCAATTTTATACGCCGTCTGCGGGCATGCCCGTGTTGATGCACGAATGTGTATTTTTGCCGTTGCTGCTTTCGCGGTCAATGTAATATCGCAGACGCACCCCTACAATTACGAGGCGAATTGGAATGGTCCAGAAAAACGCGTTGTTTGGAATAGCAGTGGGGGGGGTTAAAGTTCATGCAGATACGGGGTGGTTTTTATAAGTGGTTCCAGATGTTTTTGCCCATGGTTAAGAGATGCCAAGTTTTTTGGAAGATGTTCGCAGCCAAAACGCATTCTTCCGTACGTCGCATTTCTGTGTAATTTCGCATGTGGTGTTGCATTATGTCCGGGATGATGCACGTCTTTTTATTTTTACCGTAGCTGTTTTGATATTGGAGTAAATGCATATTTTAGAAACATCCCTACTTTTACAATCCTGTGGAATAGGCCGTAGGTTTAGGCAGTTGTCTGGTAGCAGAGGTTCTGTAAGCAGATATCCTGGTTATCTGGCCGGCGGCAGTAACACTCGCGGTGCTTACCGCGGTGCTTACTGTTGCTGGCCTGTTCCAGGCGCGCTTAATTAGGTACAGGCACAGTAAGACGGTGGGGCTGTCTTTGTTACTAGACACGACCATGATAGTCCGATCTTTATGTGAATGCAATGATTGTGTGTGTGTAATTAAAATGAACTTCGAACTTGAAGCACAGTATCTTTACACGCCCTGGGAGCAGTAATGGATTTAGCTCTTTGTATGTGTTATGCTTGTGACGCGCCCTCATTGTATTAACCGTTGCCTAATTATAATGTCTTTTTTTTTATTCCAACATGTAATCACCAGACGTGGTGACGACACACTCAAGTTTTTTCAACTTATATTAATGCCGCCACCAACACAGGGGACAGATACATGACAGGACAATACTAATTTACACCTGAGCGAAGTGAGGAAAGTCGTGTAAAGTGCCTTTCCCAAGGGCACAAGATCGGTGGCATGTCAGGACTCGAACCCGGGACTCTAAGTTCCGAGTCGCGCACTCTGCCGCTACGCCAGACGACCCCACAATGAATATTGACCCCACAGTGAAATTATAATGTCTGCACAGTAGGTCTGGCGTTGACGCTTGGGATTTTATTGAAATATATAAAACTTCACGGAGGATTGTCACCTATGGCTTCTTGTTTGATGTTGTAATCATAGACAAAAGATGTAATTAACACTTATGTTAGAATAATTTTCTAAGGTCTTGAACAATCTTGACAGAAACCGTGAATAAACCGTTTTTTTAGTATTGATCAGTCCAAGTCTGTTTTGGTAGTTTACCGTAATAGATGAAGGATATTAATGACAGTCTAACCTAGCACACCGTTACACAATAATTATCAGTAGAACAGTTCTCCTTACCGTCGTTCGGTCGGTGGTCGATTTTGTAGTAGGAATCGGTGTTGTCTGGAGTGTTGTCTGGGTTGTTGTTAAATCCGTTGTTCGTGGATGAGTGGTTGGATCTTTCGTGGTCGGGATTGTTGTCATGTGTGTACTTTTGAGTGTCGTTAAGATTGTTGTTGGGGGCACAGTTGTTTGGAGTGTTGTAAAATCCGTGGTAGCTGCTATTGTTTTTGGTGCTGTTGTAAGGTTTGGGGTCGTCTGAGACGTTGTTAAATCTGTCGTAACTGTTGTTGTTTTGGGGGCTGTTGTAGAGCTATGGGTTGTCTCAGTTGTTAAATCTGTGGTAACTGTTGTTGTTTCGGGAACTGTGGTAGGGGTTGGTGTCGTCTCAATTGTTGTAAAATCCGTGGTAGCTGTTGTAGGTTCTGGCGTCGACTGGATTGTTGTTGAATCCTTGTTTACAGTCGTAGGATACTTAGTGGTCGGGATTGTCGTAATGTGTGTAGTCTGGAGTGTCGTTAATGTTGTTGTCTGGGGCACAGTGGTAGGAGTTGGGGTCGTCTGCGCTGTTGTAAAATCCGTGGTAGCTGTTGTTGTTTTGACTGTGGTAGGTCTTGGCGTCGACTGGATCGTAGAATACTTTGTGGTAGGATTCTTTGTGGTCGGGATTGTCGTAATGTGTGTGGTCTGGAGTGTCGTTAATGTTGTTGTCTGGGGCACAGTGGTAGGAGTTGGGGTCGTCTGGGCTGTTGTAAAATCCGTGGTAGCCGTTGTTGTTTTGACTGTGGTAGGGTTTGGCGTCGACTGGATCGTAGAATACTTTGTGGTAGGATTCTTTGTGGTCGGGATTGTCGTAATGTGTGTAGTCTGGAGTGTCGTTAATGTTGTTGTCTGGGGCACAGTGGTAGGAGTTGGGGTCGTCTGGGCTGTTGTTAAATCCGTGGTAACTGTTGTTGTTTTTAGACTCGTACTTAATGTAGACTTTGTCTGCGTCAAAAGGGAATAAGAACAGAGTTTGTGTCTTTTGATGACAGACATGCATTGCAGTCAGAAGTCATGCTTGAATGATTTGGACAGGTTGTAAATAAAACATAGGCTCAAAACAGTCATAAAGAACATATTAACGGGATCTGGGTAATTTTGATAGCATTTCATTTGTCTGTTTTGTCGTCTTACCGATGTCTACCGACAAAAGATGTAGTTAATATTCATGTTAGAAGATTTTTTTACCAATTGAAAGATCGAAAGAGGGAAACGGTCAAGAAATGTTTAAAAGCAACGTTTAATGGAAGTTCATGTCTGTTTTTTTTTTGCTTTACCGTAGTATGCGGTTGAGTTGTAATTAGCGTTGTCGATGCCGTAGTTGGACGTGTGGTCAAGAGATTGGGTTCGTCGGTTGTCGTCTGCGTTGTGGGCAGAACAGTTGTGGGCCTTGTTGTTTTATGAATTGTGCTTAATGTACTCCCCATCTACATTGAGTAAACAACAGAAAAATTATGTTTCTGACATATGTGCTGTGTCGACCACACACGTGAGCTGTACTTTAAGCTAAAATTTAGGAGGCTACTTTGAAGACAAAGACGATCACACAGTTTTCCTGCTTTACCGTAGTGGTAAGTTGTGTTGTCTGTGGTGTTGTCGATAACGTTGTTGGCTGTGTGGCCATAAGTGTGGATTCGTCATTTGTCGTATGTATGGATTCGTCAGTTGTCGTATGTGTAAATAGGTAGAACAGTTGGTGGCATTGTTGTTCGAGAATCTGTACGTAATCTAGCCTGTGTCTACATGAGATGTGGAAAAAATTCAATGTTGTTTGTCTTTTTGGAATAATAGGAGATGTTGCTCAAACTCATTTTAAAAGAATTCCATGACAATGAAAGAAAAATGTAATAAAACGACCAAGAACAGAAGAGCAGTTTAAAACTCATTTTAAAAGAATTCCATGACCATGAAAGAAAAATGTAATAAAACGACCAAGAACAGAAGAGCAGTTGGGTATTCCTAATATACGTTCAAGTTTGTCTAGAAGTTGTTGTTTTACCGTATGAAGTGGTTGAGTCGTCCGTAGCATTGTCGGTATTGTACTTGGCTGTGTGGTTATTGGCGTGTATTTGTCAGTTGTGTTGTTTAAAATTATAGCATTTGTTGTTAGATAACTTGTGCTTAATGTAGTTTGCCTCTATATCGAATAAGGAAGAAGAATGATGTTTATGTTAGTTGCGTTGTTAAGATCACAGACATGCATTGCAGTCAAAAGTCATGCTTGAATGATTTCGACAGGCTGTAGTTAAAACCAAGGCTCCCAGATAAAAACAGTTATGAAGATGTCAAGAACAGTTTAACGGGATCTGGGTAATTTTGATATCTATTTTGTCGCTATACCGTTGTAGGTGGTTGAGTTGTTCGTCGTGTCGTCGGTAGTGTACTTAGCTCTGTGGTCACTAGTGTTGATTTGTCGGTTGTTCTCTGTGTAGTCAGAACGGTTGTGGGCATTGTTGTACTATGACATGTACTTAATATAGTCTGTGCATCAATCAAGATAGAAAAGAATGACGCTCGTGCATTTTTTGATGTTATAATCATAGACAAAAGATGTAATTAACACTTATGTTAGAATAACTTTCTAGGGTCTTGAACAATCTTGACAGAAACAGTGAAGAAACCGTGAAGACAAGTATGAAATGAATAGGGGTTTTAGTTTTGATCAAACAGTCCAAGTCTGTTTTGGTAGTTTACCGTAATAGTTGAAGGATATCAATGATAGTCTAACCTAGCACACCGTTACACAATAATTATCAGTAGAACTGTTCTCCTTACCGTCGTTCGGTCGGTCGTCGATTTTGTAGTAGGAATCGGTGTTGTCTGGAGTGTTGTCTGGGTTGTTGTTAAATCCGTTGTTCGTGGATGAGTGGTTGGATCTTTCGTGGTCGGAATCGTTGTTATGTGTGTACTTTTGAGTGTCGTTAAGGTTGTTCGTGGCACTGTGGTAGGAGTTGGGGTAGTCTGGGCTGTTGACTGGATCGTAGAATACTTCGTGGTAGGATCCTTTGTGGTCGGGATTGTCGTAATATGTGTAGTCTGGAGTGTCGTCTGGGCTGTTGACTTAATCGTAGAATACTTCGTGGTAGGATTCTCTGTGGTCGGGATTGTAGTAATATGTGTAGTCTGGAGTGTCGTTAAGGTTGTTCGTGGCACTGTGGTAGGAGTTGGGGTCGTCTGGGCTGTTGACTGGATCGTAGAATACTTCGTAGTAGGATCCTCTGTGGTCGGGATTGTCGTAATACGCGTAGTCTGGAGTGTCGTGACATCTGTAGTAGGATGCTTTGTTGTCGGAATTGTCGTGACACCCGTAGTAGGCTGCTTTCCTGTTGTCGGAATTGTCGTAAACTGTGTCTTAGGATGATACGTTGTCGGGATCGTTGTAAAATGTGTAGTAGAAACTTTTGCACGATTTGTCTGCACGTAGATGGCTTGCGTGGTGTGGTTATAATAATTAGTGTAATTATTAGTGACATTTTGATTCAGACGCTTTAGAGGCGAGATGTTATTTTTAAACGTTTCTTCCGGTACTTGTATAAGTATTTTCAATTTATCATATGAAAGTTTTGAGATTGCATCGAAGTTTTGTGCTGATACCCGAGTCCTTTCAGCTGTATGTTGTTCTTCGTCTTTGTCATTTCTTGCTGCATAGTTTGCTGGATGCGTAGTTTCTAATGTACCAGGTCCAAGTTTTGTTTGTTTTGGTATCGCTATCCTCGCGTAGTCATCTGTAGGTCGAAAGCAGTGTTACATGGAAATTTTGGCACAGTTTTGGGCGAACTGCCTAATATATAGTATTTGAAGTCAGTCCTCAGTGTTTATGGGACATAAACAATATCAATACAATTGACGTATCAATTTAAAGAGCAAACAGGCTTTGATAAAATAAAGAATATAAACAAGTAGAAACAAATTTAAAGGACGTATGACCGAGAGAAACTTGGTCACTTTGTTTTAGCACCCAGTCTTGGTTTATTTTACAAGCGTATGGACAAAGTAAATGAGGATCACATTTAAGAATGATAAAAAAAACGTTGTAAAAGATCTGTAAAGCTATGAAATTGATTAAGTGTAAACGAAGATTTGATCAACCAAAGTTAAACCGTCATATTTCAGTTATTAAGTTTATACACGATTTTATGTAACCATCATGTCTAGACATATTATATTATATTTCACCACTCACCTATTTGGCACACAAAGGACGAAAGTTGGACTTTTCCATCAGCGGCTGGGTTACAGTGATGTGGAGTCCAGCTGAAGTTCAAGTCCATCCGCATAGCCACGCAGTCTTTCGCGTCCGTGTTCAGAACTGGCGACCACCTGCTGAAATTCCCCACTAATGTATCGTCCATGTACATCCACCTTCCCTCCACCTCCAGGTCATTAATGCCGATCATTGCCGAGTCTGACAGCAGAGATGCTATGGTGTCGTGCTCGTACGGGCTTCTGGGGTTCGCAAGGGTGCCGCCATCTTCAACACAAGCCGCCTGGGCCTCGAAGAAGTTTGCGGTGGCCTTTATCACCCTGTAGCAGTTGGGACTGTGAAAGACGTATCCCTTCGGACATCCTGCTAGGAATATGCAAAAACAAGGGGCGTCAGTATTGTAATGACAAATACCAAGAGACGTCAGTATAGGAATGGCAAATGCAGTACATGATATCACTCACATTCATGGTAAAAAAAGTTGATACCTAAATGTACAGCGAGGGATAGAATCCTCGGAGGCATGTTTTATGGAAAAAACAGGACTAGAAGGAAAAGTTCAGCAGCTATATCTGCATAAAGTCTTTATTACACATTCGAAAGCTTCCCCCGCCCGCCATCCAATCAGCATTGGCTGAAATTTAGACGCAGTCTTACCACATGAGAATGGTTTATTCGCAACCTTTAGTACACTTCTTTATTTCTTTATTTGAATTTACCACATGCAAAAACAAGTGGAAGGGAGGACAAAACAGGTGTATCAACGCCTTTACAAGTTGTCCTCCCAAACCTGAAATGATAATACAACAATACGGAACCAAGTCAAACAATAAACATTAGACATTAGACATCAAAAATCAGTAGACATGAAATATACAATTCGGTAAAAGTTATACACAGTTCACAGCTGTCACACATAAGCAACTAAGTCGATTTAGCTGAATTGAGTGTGACATAACATAGAAACAATCAGTTATACATTACAACAATAAATCATCTTAGATACGAGCTAAAAACTTTATATATTCATAAGTCCCTTGTTAAATATTATGTTGTGGCATCAGACTTAATTCATGACAATTATACCCAGTTATATTCTTACATATGCATACATATCGATGTGTCAAGATACTGATGTCATGTTCTTTTCTGTTTACTGAGAACTGAACCACTGCGGAGTTCGCTGTTCAATAAAGTTGTTGCATACATAATCGGACATAAGGCGGCCAAACTCCCCTCGACTGGCAAATATTCTCCTATATATAGCCAGCGCAGTTGGTCTGGGAGAGACTACTGTTGACCTACTTCACAACTGAAATTGATTGATTTTTTTACATTCGCCAAACACCAGCCAACCACATTCCACCAATTCCCGGTGTGTGTGGTGGGGGGGGGGTATATTCGGCTACGTGAGACAGGGGCCTTATAATAGCCTGACAGTTGACCAGGCACCATACATGTATGTTTTAGTATGAAGGAGAAACCATACGACATGCGCTGAATGGAAAATTGGCACGGTGACCCGTGAGTCAGAAGTCAGAAAACATAATTACAAGTCCCCTTAGGATATGCCTTTGTCTTGTTTTGTTGCAGATTCACCGGCAACGCCCTACTGTCAAGAAAACTCCTAGTTCTAATTGGCGGAAACGCCTTTGGTATTTCTTTTACGAGCTTTAAAACTTATTTTACCCTTCTCTTTTCATCACTATTTGCAGCAACATGATTGCAGCGTGAAGCATAGAAAGCGCCTGACTCAGTCTCCGAATTTGCCCTCTGATACATGTACACAACCTTTGTTACATTGGTACGAGTAGTGAGTGACAAGTCAAGTACGACCATATGCACCTTCAAAAAAAATCCTGTCTTCCAAACAACCAGCCATACTCTACAATCAACTGTGCCCGGTTTCACATCAACACACTTACAGAACCAGATATGCTACTCGGAACACCTTCAAACTAGACAAACCAAAAACAAACAGCACTAAAAAAGCCTTCACAGTACAGAACTACCGCAGCACGGAACTCTCTACCACATGGGTTGCAAACAGTGTCATCACATGAGAAGTTCAAACAAGGCCTACTAAAACACATGAGGGACATGAACAAGTAAAGCACATACGATGTTACACATTTGCTTTCTTTTAAATTACTGTAATGTAAATGTATAATGTAATAATATTGTACGTGATGTATTGTTATGTCTTACATGTATGTTCCCTCTCCTGGAAGAATAGCTGCCACCCTTGGGTGAGCAGCTAAAGGAGAGTTTTTCCTCAATAAACCTCAATAAACCAAACTGAACAAGTCACAGTCCATATCTTCAAAATTTTTAATGTAGCCAATGTAGATAATGTACCCACATAAATAGATTTAGGCATTTCTTGAACTATGCAACATCTGCAACCATTAGGAACCTAACTTCATCCAGCTACATGTATTCCAGAATAAGTTAATACAACATTCACTTAGGTAGACGAACACAAAGAATATGCATGGAATAAAACCAATACCAAAATATCATCCCATGCAATTAATATCAACCCAGGATACTTTGCAACATTCGCGTTAGAACCCGTTGAGTCCACTGTAAGGACGAAAGTGTGTGCATTAATTTACAAATATCAAATCCATTAACACTGCATCAAACATGTTGCTGCAAATCTCCATAAGTTACACACACACAAAACATCTCAGATTGAAATTCTAGGTGTGGTCAAAATAGGGCTCGGTGACATTTCTTACCTTTACTTGCTTGTACGCTCCATAAAAATACGACAATCGCAACGACGAAAATCATCATGAACATCCGATAGCTTTAACACTTCCACCATAAAACACGCAATTACAAAATGTTCGCGCCTTTCTTACGATGTTTCCAGATTTTGAAGTGTTCACTCAACTGACATTTCATTTTCTGACCTTTAAGTCCAAACAACGGGTTGACCTCGCGAGATCTCGCGATAGTAGACACCAGACATGGCGACTAGGTTTGGTGTCGTTAATCACGATAACGCAGCCGGCAATGGTAACATTTTCCACGAAAGAGATGAAAGTAAAAAAAAACGTAAAAAAACACAAGCATATGCCTCCTGTTAATAAATATGCATGCAGAAAACGCTAAATGCCTCAGTATATCTACCAGAAATAAGAAGGATATTAAATTGAATGTCACTTACCTTGTCATTTTACACAATGTGCATTTCCCTCACACGTAGCCTGTATATTTCGTCCAATATTTCACTTGAACCGGTAATTCTATGCTTTTATAGTTAGAGTAAGGAATATATTCTAAGCACTTCTTCTTCACAAACTGCCCAGACAGCCCAATTCTACTTTCTCTATACAATATATCGCGTTTCTGTCAAAACAACACATCCCGAAAACTTGAAATTACTCCAGACAGCTCTGGCTTATGTTTTTACTTGTTATTTTTTTCGATAATGCTCGATAATTTGTCTTTTCTTTTGACTTATTTTGCGTTTTGATCAGGCTTTTCTTTTTTTGTAGTGGTACAGTTTTACGCCAGCTAAATGGATACTGCTGGCCAATTTGATGATACTGTCTGTCCAATTTGATACTATATCACAGCCACCAAAAATTCTGATTGGGGAAAAAATTAAACACAGATCTAGATATTGAGGTTGTTGAGGAACTGGTTGGCTCTACACGCCAAGGTGATGAAAAGTAGGATAATTACATTTAAAAACAATAGCCACTATTGCATTACTCTGACGGTGTGATGTAGGCTGGAAAGAATAGCAGTGCAGTATTACTGTACGTTCACGAGCAAATTTACAGCAACTGCCCTCGACCAGACTTATTAGGATGTTGTTAATGTATCTGACCAGCTTGGCTATCAATTTGCACTATTTTGCCGTACCGTACACCTATACCGACATGCTCTCTGTAAATGGTTTTCGTTCACTGTCACGGTGACATAACATTCCAATAATGTTATGTTGATGTTAATGTTATCTCATCCAATACATTGCCCCCATCTTAGGTTATTGAGGACACAATTAGAGGATGTATTTTAAGCGTATACGAGTAGAAATCAGTTATTTTTTTTACCTAATCGAAGTCCCAACATCTGAAACCGTCTTCCACACTCTAAAAAGAGTTGTACGTCCATGTCTGCTTTTAAAATCAAAACTTGGCCTGACCTCTGACCGCTCGATAACGACAAATTGGAACGAGCTTGATTTGGAAGGTGAATTGGGACATTTCTGTTATTATTATCATTATTCATTATTGTTTATCTGTTCGTTACTATTATTATTTATCTGTTCGTTGCCTTTTTCATTATTATCATTGCCATTATCATTATTCATAGTATCTTTTAAAATTGTATCCTTTAAAGTATTATCATTATTTATTGCATCTTTTAAAATTTTATTGTTTGTATGTGACTTTAGGTATATCACCACTGAAAAGTTGTGTTAACACTAAGTGGTCAACTCTGGGTAAAAATAACGGAAAGTAAAAAATTAACTAAATTGAATAAATGAACCGATACCGGTGGTAACATCCAACCCCTAAAGGCCAAAGCATGCTCAATTCTTGGTCATATCTCTGCTTTCTGACATATCTTCATTGCTACCGTTGTTGGATAGTCCTTGAGGTAATTTCTCAGAAATGACGTAGGTGCTACCATCAGTACCCGGAAACGTCTTCGTGAAAGTCTGTACCAGACACCATCAGCGCCATGCTCAGTTCACAGATGACTGAACGAATAGATAGCACCTTATACGTACATTGAAAAGTCAGTTGTCGTCCATTTTGGTTTTGAATGACTACTAAAGCCTGTGTGACGTATGTCACTTCAATCTGTGTGAAATAGGAGTTTTGTTTACCCTAAACGTCATATGACTATTTCGTGAGGTACGTTGAAATGTAACTGGATACAAATAATTTCTTTAGCTTTTGTTTGTTTGTTTGTTTGTTTGTTTGTTTGAACTATTGTTTATTCATGGGAAACTCAAATTGGCCTGCAGGTCGCATTTCATTGAAGTCGCGGGGGAAGAGGTGAGACAAAATATATAAAAGTCCATTTAAGTCCTAACTTCCAATACCTTGATAACGAATTTTGAATATAAATATCAAGGTCTTTCTTCACTAAAGATCTTCGTATACATGTGCGTAATCCATGCAGAACAGAGAAATACATATGAAAAAATCCGAACTGTTGACCCACTCGCCATTGTAGGGACTAGTCCTACACAAGTAAAACCATTGCTGAAAGGTCAAGTGTGTAGCCTCTTCAAATCCTGAGGACAACGTATGGAAGCAAACATTGAGCCTGTTGCAGATTCCCCGTGGTTCTAATTGTTTACCATAGCTCATGTAAGTACCTATATTATAGGTTCTGGGCCCTGCATACAATAGTACACAATGTGTTTGGCTGTAGTGCCCGTGAAGTGTAAACATTGTAGTTTTGAGACTCACCTGTGCACGTGCATATACAGACTGCAGCCAGGACAAACCAGCGTATTCTCCAATACGACGTCATGCTGGTTAACCGTTACAACGTGTTGCATTGTCCTCCATTGGAAACGGTTTGTTGGCTGCCAGTACTCCACAGGCCATGACTGTCTGTCCCACCTTTTCTCACGTTTTTTTTCTTACGCCTTTTTCGGGTAATCGTTTCCTTGTGACGCCAGACGGTCGAAGAGCAAGTTTTGCACACCCCGCGGCACGGGCGGTTGTCTCCGACTGGTGTGTAATTATGTGAACTTAATGTTGCTGTGTCTATTTATTCGCACATTTTGTTTTATGCGACCCTTCATTCTTAGCTATTCATATTACCTCGTGTGTTTGATTATCATAATGGCTATTTACGTCTAACTAGAACTTTACAACGATAAAAAATATCGGTTAACGTTGTTTTTGAGAATGCTAACTTACATCGCCCCGGGCGTCCCCAGGCCAGTATGACCTTAGTTCCAACTTTAGATGACCTCGAAAATCTGTTGTCGGGTTGGGTAGCTGTTGATTTGCAAACCAGGCGTAAAATGTTTACAAAAAAACTAACGGTTTTGATATCTCGTGATATAGACATGCTAGGGTCACGAATTTTGAATGATATCATTAGCTCTTGGGCTTAAAAAGAAGTGACATTAGTTTGGTCCCCCTAGCAGCTTGGTTTGGAACTGCAGGGCAGGTTGATTAAGGATTCAAGATCGATATCACTTTATTGAACATTGCAGTGTATCACTGAATTGCGTCCAATTTACACAGTTTACATAATAAAATGCATTGATAATTTAAAAAGACGGTAGTGGCAATGGTTAAAAAGACACTGCATATCTAAGGGATATAGATTGTAGTAAATATACATCTGCTCGAATAAAAAGGTACAATATTTACGTCTGATGTGTTACGTTATAAAGGATTGTTGAGTAGACTGCACATGTACGGAACAGGCGAGTTTCTGTATCTGTTGGTTCTTTTTAAGGGGTTGGACAGTTTGTGACTGTTTACTCGGCCTGTGATCTGTAGTCTAGTGGGTGGTAACCAGTCTCTGTATTCGGAACTTAGTAGAGTCCTTGCGAATTTCCGGCAGAGCAGCTCTCTTCTCTCTCTAAGACCACACCGACTTAATTTTATGGATGACATCCTCTGAAGACCCCCAAACTAGTGCGCGTGGGCGAATAAAAAAAATTCCGACCAAAAATAAAAATCCTACTAAAATCCACTGTATACAATTTAGCTTATTGTGAATTTGTAGCAGTACATAGCGACGTATACGACAAGCCGGCACGTGCTGTTTTTTTGCGGCATTTATCAATCGGCACTGTACGTAATATACTGAGTTCTTGAATCGTGGAGCTTCGGTAGCCTGGGTGCCCGGCTCCGTATTGTCGCCGACTACCATGGACTACCCAGGCCTAGAGCCAGGCCAGAGCCTCCGAGGACGTGATCTTTTTTTTTTGACGACAGGCAAAAATCAATGCGCGCGCGGATGTCATCCATAAAATTAAGACGGTGTAGCCTAAAAAATCTTTGAGGAAAGATAACTCAAGAACCGGCGACGGATTTCATGATTTTTATTACGTACTCATTTTCATAATTTATGAGGAACTGCTAGAATTCTCTGTTAACGGATTACTAAAGGCCAGAAGGGAGTGCTATATTCCAACAGACATTAATTTTAGGAAGTGAAAAATGCATATCACAGTATATATTAAAATGCCCATTATGAGCGCAAGTCTTAAAAAGCATAGAATCCAACTTATAAATGCTACAAAAGACCAGTATGTGCCGACTTGTCGTTAAAGTCGATATGTACTACAGCAAATTCCCAATGCCAGCTTCGTATTCCTGTGGTTTACCGTTTAGCAAAATTTTACTTGTTTTTTTTTCGCCCTCTCGCATTAGTTTTGGGGTCTCCAGAGGATGTCACACATAAGAATTTAAGTCAGTGTGGCCTAAGCTACAGATTTAACGTAGCTTGGTAGCACCGGCCTGTACATGTACATGTAGCTAGGGAAAACATTGCACCAAATGCGTCGTCTGGAAAATTTAATTAACTCTAATCTCCCTTTTTTTGTGTCATAAATCGCAAGCCAATTTATTGTGTAAATAAAGGCGTTTACAGGCTATACGCACGGCTAAAGCCATATTCTTCTCTTTAGAAGACTTCTTTTTGAAATGATTTAAATTCGGATCGATCAAATTCCATAACTAAGTGATGAGGCTTTACTACTCTGTCCGGTGTAAATTTTCACGCACTATTATTCCTGTCTTATAAAGGGGGCCATTATGCCACTCACCAGAATGTAAACCAGCGTAAGATATACAACTTGTTCTTGACCATGCACTGGTCACGTCTGTAACTCCAGACGGTAGTTAACTTTTGTTTATCCGTTGCTTACATGCCATGACGTGTGAATTATACAAAGCAGCAAGGGATCTTGATTTGTTTCTGTTGGCATGTTAAACTTTGTATATGGTGCTGGCAATATATCTTAAAGACTAGTAGACAATCAATGTAATACCAAGGTATCCAAAATAGCTGCCGAGGTCTTTTGGCCTGTCACTTCACCTCACCTCACCAGCCCGTCATTAGCTATTAATAGGTTTAGATACCAGGCTACTATGGTATCTGACGTTCGTGTTACGTTAATGGTGAAGATTTGAGTTTTCTTCCACGTTTCGCGACGTCTGCTACTTTTAGCTGGTCAAGAAATGAGCTGAGATCATTCGAAATATCACAGCAACTTCGTACTTAGGATATGATGAACATTGCATTGTCTAAGATATTGAAAAGATTATTTTGTTGTAAATGTGCGGGATACGTATATGCCAAGCAACATATGTAGGTCAAAGTCTAAAAAACAACATCGCATTGGAGATTTGTGCTAAATGTAATTTGTGTATGTCTGGTAATGCGAGATTAGATGCTTATAAAGGATGTGTGATACCAAGCAACAGGAATATTCTCTATACTAGCTACTTTGAATGAAAGCTAATAGAGTTAATAAGATACCAAAGTAGATCAAAGTTTTTAAAAAGATCATCACATAGAAGAGTAGTGCCAAATTTTGTATACCTGATAATGCGAGATGATATAAAAGATATCTATGAAGGATAGGTATTTATGAATGATACCTGTTTGTTTCTGGTTTTACATGTTAATTACTGATTAATACGTTAATGGTTTTAGATGATAAATACAATGATAACAAATAAGGAATGTGTATATGTGACTCTTCAATAAAAAAAAAAGTCAATGAAAAACGATCAATGGGAAGCTGTATAACACTGTCGATCAATGTAAAGACTCAAGAAAAACATCTGACTCCTATAACGACCTTTGACATGTCGTGGCTCCGATATGTCAATAGTTGACACAAAGTAAAGTCCAGACAGGGGTGAGAAGGGGGCCAAGTCTGGATAATTACAGCGACGGACTCATTTCAGTTCCAGCACGGCGGGAGGCGTGGAGAGCATCTTTGAGCATCATCAATCGTTTTCAGGTAAATGTATATATTGTACGTGTAGCAACAAATTATCAACAAACAGTAGCATTGGGGCGCCAGGTGTCGCTCTTAGACTTGTCGTATATGATCCAGCGGCAACGACATATAGGTCATGTACGTACTAGTAGTATATCACAATAGCTATTCCTCAACAGAAGAGTGGTTATCTCATCGTTTTTTTTATTTTGGATATTTAATATGGAATGTTGACATTCATGTTATTCCATGGAGACAAACGCGTTTGTATGTTATGACCTGTGTGAAAATGGAGGTGATGTTTTCGGTGTGTGTGTGTGTGTGTGTGTGTGTGTGTGTGTGTGTGTGTGTGTGTGTGTGTGTGTGTGTGTGTGTGTGTGTTTGTTTGTTTTTGGGCCAGCAACGACTTTGGAAGACATTTATGGATTGTAATGATATTTGGTAGGTGGGTACATGTAAATTTTGAGTCAAAGTGCCCTTGCAGGCCTTTTTTTTACTGCAGCAGACCTTCATTATCTTTCGTCTTGGACATTCCGTGGCATTTGATAATGATATTTAGGTAACTTTTGATGAGAAGAACAAAATATGGGCCCCCCTAGTAGCTTTGCCTGGAACAAAATAACTTTAGAAATACTTAATCTGAGGGGACCTGTTGGACCATTGCCAGCCATGCCATAAGTGCTAACTTGGCAATACTGAACCTCTCTAATTGGCGGAGAGGTGGCCACGTCATACTCCCAAAATACGGACCAATGGAAGAAGCTGGTCCAGGTTTCAGACGACACAACGGCCCCTGCAGGTTGGCATGACACTCAGGTGGTGTTCTGTGAACTGTAGGTGGAGAGAAGTTCAAAACTGACGCCATTTTCTGACAGGATGATGTTACAACTACGCCCCCTCCCCAATATCTGCAGAGTACCTTCTACCTTAGTGTCATTTTTTGTCACGTCAAAGCAATACATGTATGTGAAGAGGACGGACCCACAAAAAGAGGCAAGATTGATCTGAATGACTGTACTTACGAAGGGAAGCCAAAGGTAAACACGTCAATTTTGATCAGATGTATTATGTAGTTTTAAACCGTTACAAAATAAGTGCTTCAGGCAGTCATGTCAACAACAACAACGCATACAAAGTCGATTGTAGCTACAGCTGCTACTTTTTAAGTGTCAGAAAGTATATGTGGTTATTCAAACATCAATCTTGAAAAGAATAGCAGAGAGGGAATAAGTCAGGGTTTCATTTCATGTAGTTTTGACGAAATGTAATTGTGTTGGTGTTGGTGTACATGGCAGAGTAATAGCTGAAATACAGGAATACACTGCCCCTTGCCCCTCTTTAGAAAAGAAAAACACTGTGAGAAAGACGATGTGAACAAAAAGTCATGGTCAAGTTCGAGCAGCAAAAATCTCCTGGGTCATGGTACCATGGGACCATGGTAAAATCCTAATTGTTAATAGCCCTACAACTTCAGCTATGCGAGAATGGCAGTCTATGCCACGTAGGGCACAATTGTGACTTGGCATGATCCCATGCTGTAAAAAGAGCCAATCCTTCAAAAGTAGCATTTATGAAAGATAATAAGTATAAATAGCACAACCATGTTGTTGATTCGCCTTCCGGCTTATACCTGAATGTAGCCGCGGGGACAAAACAAGTCAGGTGGGTGCTTAACCGATAAGGCCAAAGTGGACACTTTTAATATTAAATAAATAGTAAGCTATGACGTAAATGGTAAATTATTCCGATGCCTTTCTTTGCTTGTTGGAGGTGACTGTATTCCACTGTAATAAAAAAAAACTTTTCTAGCAACGCCTAAATCACCGTTGGTTGGTACTCTGTACATGTCACACGTTCTAAAGTCATAGAAAATAAACCAGACAACTGGATAAAACGACTGGCGAAAGATTGTGGCTGCCATTTGTGGCACAATATATACATACGCAACCAAATTAATATTTCGGATATTGATATTAATTGCCGACAGGAAAAGCTATCTGTCACCAAAAAGTCAAGTCCATATCATGTTCAGGACAAAAGATACAAAAACCGGAAGTTCTGCTGCAGTACCAAGGTCATCCACCAGGAGGACAATGTTTGACCTTGACCTTTGTACCAGCATACCAAATATCATCACAATCCATAAAGGTGTTATAAACTTATGCTGACTACAAATGTGCGGAAACACAAACACACAGACAGACAGACAGACAGACAGACAGACACACAGACAGACGTCGACACGCCAAAAACAATACCTCCATTTTTCATGGAGGTAAAAAATAGTTGGCAGTAAAGCCGTGAGCCGGGTACTTCGAATTCCCTGATCGACATAACCCCGGCTCTACATGGCAACATAGCAATGCCCAAATCACACAAGAAGGCGTAGATAGATTGTTTCGATACTTGGCAGGTGAGTTGGTCTTGGTAATGATTTTGAGTCCCCTAGTGACTTGTTATGGTACTACAGCGGAAGTTCCGGTTTTGATATTTCGTCATCTGGACATGATTGGGTTACGAATTTATGGCTGGTGGGCAGCTCCTGTGCTGGAATAGCCTTCATTGGTAAGCTAAGCCTGTCATTGGGTGTAGAATATGATCAACTGATACAATTCCAATTACAAACATGTATAGTTCGACAGATTAATATAATTTAGTGAAGGTATGAGATCGTGGAACTCTAGTAAATTTTGCTAATGCTTTACAACCTCCCACCAACCCAGTCTGACTCTGGAGGACTTAAAGAGACTCGCCGACGACCGCCAAGTATGGCGCAGGACGCTGTGCAGGAGGACGGCTGACTTTGACGCAGGCCACTAGCTAAGTTGAGCAGACCTAATCAAGTAAGTTTACAACCTCATTTTACTGATGGGGTCATTTTCCACATAATGGACATGTATGTACAGAACTCCTAAGTCATCTTATCTTAAATCATGGGGGTATATATATAGACGTCCCTACGCTCTGCGTGTGCAGAAAAGTAGGAATGTCACCATATACTGAAGTTCAGGTGAGTTTACATGCATGCAAAGGCAGCGTGACTGTCTAGCATTCAGTGAGCGGAGATATTTGGAAAAGCTGAGCCATTAACACCTCAACCTATTGTTTTAAAGACAACCTTTTCTGAGCGTGCCATCACTGTGAAGCTAAACATGAACTGTCAACAAAAACGTGAAAATTTATTTATTTTAGTTCCCGTGCTTTGAGACCTTTGTCCTTCTCATGCCAAGGCCCATATGTGTATGTGTAAATGTAATCATCCATACACAAATACCTTCCAACTCATCAGGTAATGGAATGGGCGGAACATCCGTTCTCCGTCAGTCACATCCAATAAGAGTGGTTTTAGTAGAATGAGAAGTACGCCCTGATCCTTTGTTTTGCATCCACTCCGTGGAAGGCATTCGCGAATTAAAAATTGCTGTTGGATACGGTAGTCAAGTGAAAAATATGCCGTATAGTTGTATACGTTCACTTTGTGTAATTACGCTCCCCAAAAATTATTATGGCTCAACTTAAAGGTCACAATGGCACCTTGTACTTGTCGGCACGTCATGCCAGACTTAACTTACACTGATTATAAGCATTTAAATTTTTCCTTATGGGTACCAAAACTGCATGCAATTCGTGATGTAATCGACCTTCAATTTCTTTTCTTGATAGATTGAAGTTTTATTATGAAAAACTTAAACTGTTCTCCAACTCAAGATTTGACTCACCAGAAATTTTCGACTGAATCACTCAGTCTTCCTCAGCTATCTGACCCAAATGCTGTGGACACGTGATTTTTCCCACGTGTGACGTCAGCAAAGGGTCAAAGGTTGGAGAACAGTTTAAGTTTTTCATAATGTAATTTACCAACTCAGATGAACTTTCATGCAGATTGAAGTTTTGCCTGGACAGAATGTAGCTGGGCAGAACGATAGAGCCAACCCTAGCCTTTCTAATTCTACCTCTCAGGAAAATGATTCTTTGGCTGCACGCACCTTTTAACAGTATGAAAGTGCACAAGTAATTTAAAGATCACAAACCATTGCAATCTAGGTTCGGGTCGAGTACTTCAAAGTGTTCCACTTTGTTTCAAACCTTGCGTGGGGAGCTGCAATTACCTAATGGAAAGGGAGCGCATCGATTTAGCAATTAGCTCAGATGGAGTACAGGAGAATTTTTCTGTGTTATTGAACGCTTGGGTGAGTTACGAACTTAATGCACTCCGGCAAAAATTACACGTAAGAGGCAAGAGTCACTCAAGCATGCAAAGCACGCGTTGACTGCTGCACACTTAGCCGGCATGGCCTGAACGCTATACTGTGTGATATTGTAAACAGCGGCCGCGGTGACTTGTTGTTGCTCAAGTTGGGGGCATCTTTGCAGCCGAGGCAACGACGGTATGTACGCACGTACGAGGGATTTGACCCGGCAAGGTACTACCGTGAATGCTTCTGTGTACGTTCTGTAACTGCGTGTACGGCGCCAGTGCATGTATGCTAAGCATATTCTGTTGGAACAATAATTTGAATAGTGAACAATGCAGTCTGTAACACGTCAGACTCGTTAACAATCTAGAACGTGCGCTTTGGCACGATGGTTATAATGTGAGACTATTGAAGTATTATTCCAGGTATTGTATGAAGTATTCAAGATGTATGTTTTTTCCAACTCCCTGTTAACAGAAAGCCTTGTACTCCATAAGGCCAGGCTTCATTGTTGAAGCGGATAATATATGTACTGGCATGTGCTGTACATGTTGATTACGTACCCTTCCTTTCGTATTCGCAGATGGATATGCACAAGCACGAAAGAAAACTTTTCATGGATCAGTACAGATGTAAACATCATAATGTCATGGAGGGCATATCAAAGTTAGTCCTTTGTGTTCAGTTTTTCTTGCTTGCTTGTTTTCACAGCACTAGTCTATACTCAGAAAAATTGCAAGCGTTTTATTGATGTTAATGATTTATTTATTCTACGTTACAAAGGTTTCCTAACCTTCAGAAACATGACATTACTTGGTGTGTGTCGACCTCGGTATGTTAAGTTCACCGACAGTTACATGGCCTCATAATTCAATTCAAACAACTCGCTGAGAATATTCTCAGTATGGATTATGTTAATCTGACAATTCAATAGTCTGTAACTCCACAGTACACTTAAATGTACAAGTAATCTACATGATCTATAATGGGCAACGTTGAAAAAATACACACATTAAATGATTGCACCACATCATTCATTAAACAAAATAAAAAGAAGAGGCATTTGCACCGATCGGTGACATTTTGTACAATGTACGGAGGTTGTAACTGTATATGTGAATCTGAGATTATATGTAATGTGTTCATTCATTAATTATTATTCAACAGTTCGACGAGGTACGAATCATAACTACATACAACCTTGACCTCTATTTACTCGTAGGAGACGATTGAACGTCTTGCGCAACGGTGTCGTAAAAACCGTTTTGCATTGAAAAATGAAAATAATATAGTATCATACCTCACCTCAATAAGAAAATGTCTAGTCCATCCTGTTTACGAATCATTTCAGATATAGGTATGGGATGTCACATTCTGAACTATACACATGTACTTGGTTATTTTCTCCATGTTCTCGCACAGGTACAATGATACCATGATATAGGAGCGACAACAGAAGAATCATGACAACAAAGGATCGCTGCACCTGCATATAACTCGTCATGGCGGTCAAAACAGGTACCAGGACAAACGTATTATAGGGATTTTTAAATATGAGTTTTCAACACCACGAAGTTATAAAGGAGCAGTACTTGAGAAGGCAGTACATACACGGTTCAAGCGGGATGAAACGTGACAACTAGTCCTCAAAACAGCTAAGAATAGTGTCTGTGGCGCTATTAGCTTATTATCTTTACACTCTATCGCTTGTACAAAAAGTATTGCAAGATTATATGTTTCTGTTCTACTTCTGTTATGCTAAGAAACTTTATTTCCTGTTAATGTGAACACGAACTTGACCACCTCTATAACATCATGACTTTTGTCCTTGATCTATTCCAGGCCTTTGTCTGCAGCATTCTTCCTTACGTAGGGTGACGCTCCTAGTGATCGTCCTGGCTATGGTCATAATCCTTCTTACGAATTTCGGCCTCAACCATGTCAGCCATGAATTTCCACAATCCGTCACCAGCTTCAGCGAATCGTGCAAGGCGGAAGTCTCTGCCCCACCCATCGTCTCCGTCGACGCCGTGTTTCCGGTGAAGATTGCAGTTGTCCGCGGTAACATCAAGTTCGTCCCCCGTTCTTACGCGACCGTACGTTTAAACCCGGTCAGCGCCACCCCTATCCCAACAGTGACGTTGTACTACGGTGTCGGAACAATGAACTTGACCGTCTCCAAAGCTGGACTTATACAGCTTTCCGTTACCGTGGAAACGCAAGGTGACCACGCCCCTGCCGAGTCATGTCATGCCAGCGTCAGAATAAACGGTTTTAAGTTATCTGACCGAGAGAAACTGCGCATGGTCCACAATGGAACACTGGAAGGGAATGCACTGAAGTGGAGAGCAGGGTTTGTGGTGGTTGAGGGCCCTGTAACGGTGCCAAAGTCAGCAACACTAGTGGTGGAACCAGGAGTGTTTGTTTTGATGTCTTCAGGAGCAAGTATAAACGTTCTCGGGAAAGCAACAATCGGAGCTCCAGACGGTCAACCCGTCGTTTTCACCGTTCAACCGAGCGAAAACGGCGAACGCAGGTCGTGGAGCTCTGTGCGGTTTGGTGAAAAGTCGCTAGGGGCACTGCACAACACCTGGCTTACACAAGGAGGCGCATTTGCAGATCAGCACTCTCGGTAAGAAATTACGACTAATTTCTGAACTTACGCACACACACACACACACACACACACACACACACACACACACACACACACATACAGTACACACACACACATACAGTACACACAGCATACAAGCACACATACGAATACATATATGCACCCCTCTCACACACACACACTGCACCGTTACACTTTATCGTCAAATAAAATATTTTTATTTTTTCTTGCACAGATTTGCTAGCCGTCACGCCAATGCGGTATTGAGTGTTGAGGAGGGATCTGAAGTCGACTTTTCAGGCGGAGGTATCATGGACAATGCCGGCCCGGGATTAGGAGGGGAACGATGCACAATTAAGGTATGGTAGCCTGGAAACTTTGCACTACGATAGACAATAGGCAACATTGTGTGACATTTCTAACAAGCTGCATCAATTCGTTATCAATTTCTGATGTGAAAAGGAGTTCTGCTTTCAGCTCATCTTTAACGTTACCTTTGAATTAATCTTGCTCTAGCTCAAAAACATCATCATCTCAAGGTGCAAAGATGGCGGCTTCGTTCAGCGGGCAACGGTTACCATGGAGAACGTTTACGTCACGGAAACCAGTCGTAACCACGTGGCATCACCTCAGCCAATCGGAGACGGCTTTACGTTTGACCAACCTGAACAGTCGTCTCTCGGGAAAAAGATTTCACGAATATCAAACAGGTAGTTTATTTCTTTACGAATTACAACTTATAGGAGTATGTGAGGCTTGAATTGTCCTGTGCCTACTGTGCTTAATCCCCGCTTAATCTAAAAAGTTATTGAAAATATATCCATTTATATATAATTCAGTTAACTGGCGGCAGAAATCAGAGCTTGAAGTATGATCCTTTGTGCTATGTTCAAATATACAGGAGAAGGGTGTCAAACATTTATGCTGCAGATTACTGATCATTGTTGAACATATAATCGGAACATGTATTTTGGCGCATTTTGACACAATTATCCCTTATTTCTTTGCTATTGTCTCTACTGCTTTTTTCAGTGTTTTCACTGGTGGAGAAGGAGTAGGAATAAACATCATCGGATCCAGTCTCAACATCGAAGCCACCATCGTGGAGGATTTTTCCCAGGCATGCGTGTCAACATCCGGCAGTAGCGTAACCATAAAGAGCTCGATCATGCGAAGTTGCCTGGTTGGTCTACGCGCAAAGAACGGTCGCGACAAGCAACTGGTCCTCGTGACGAACAGCGCCATGGTTCAGAACAAGTTCGGGGTTTGGTACGGTGACGGGGAGGCAAGAGCATCTACCAGTGGGACTCTTACGTTAAGAAATTCTCTGGCGGTGGCCAACAGTGAAAAGAACTTGCGAGTGTTCAGCAAAGGAGTGGAGCAGACTGACACGGACACAGGATCAGTAAACGTTAAACTGAAATGTTTCTTTGTAAGTAAAAGCTCCACTGTTAAAAGAAGCCGTTCAACACTTAGTCTTAGACGCTCTGAATCTTGTCAGCAGCCGGAAATAAACCTTCACCATGCGGATTGTGATTTTGCAGTGGATCTGCTGCCGTCTAAGTGTTTTCTGTCAGGCTACGCGCAGAGCAAGCTTACTCATATCCAGTTGCAGAGGGTAGACTTGTGTAGTGACTGTTGCAAGAACGCGTCTTCCCTGGAGTTCGGAAACTATGAGCACTGGAGCATGAGAAACATACGGGATGTGAAACGCGCCACTATCTACACGAAGATACCCAATGAAGGTTGCGGGGTGACGTTTTCTGCAGACATGTACCAATACACCGATAGTGACTGTGTCATACAGAAGGTTCACGTCAAGTCAGCTTACAGTGATCTTCATCACTATCAGGTGAATACTTCATATATTCATTGTTCCTTTGCATACATAGATGTTTGGGTTGTTCCATGGTTTACCGTATGAATAAAAACCAAGCAGATGTCAGGAGGGGAAAGACTGATGAAACAAGAAGTGACGCAATTCTTGTACATTGCCCCCCTTAATATATAAAGCTTAAGGCACAGATAAGCATTCAATATCTATTATTGATATGATTATAATGCGGGACTTTTTTAATAGGGTGAGAGCCACCTGCGAGAGATGAAGACGCACTACTTGGATCAGGTGATGCACACCAACTTGACCTCCAAGTCATTCGGCGTGGTCCTGGACTTCTCCCACATCCGGGACAGAAGTTCTGCACTCATCAAGGCGTCACTGCTGTGTCCCTACAGTCAACATGGCGCTCTGTCAGCTTTCGTCACCGCATTTCTCCCAAATATTGGCAAGTATTCTGTTTGTATTTATTAAGTTTTGAGAAAAATATATTTTTGATTCGTTTATCTATTCTTGATATTTGAACAAAAACATATCAATATTGAAAGAACACTGCAGAGTACATGTATGACAAGTTGTACTGGAAGCTAAACGCTAAATGTGAGATCGTCTTATATTGAAATTCAACCTAAATGTGCCGTTTAAAAACGTACAACAAGTGCTTGCAACAAACTATTTATCCTTGAGCTTAGTTTTCATTCCATATTTTTGGCATGATGGATCTTGCATTCTTATCTTTTAAGTCAGATGATTTGCAATGCAATTTAATCGAAATGAATTGATAACATACCCGTTGCTGCACACATCTATGAAGTCAGTACACAACTAGAATCATATTGTCTGACATGAGCATGTTTTCGGTACTTTCCCCAGGCATCTACACTCACATGACGGTCAAGCTTGCCGAGCTTGCCCATCCCAACAACTTCCACAAGTACGTGGCTTTCCTCTACATTGGGAACTGCATGAAATCAAAACACTCCGACTTCGTCAACATGGAGACCAACAACTATGTGCTGATCGACAACGACCGCTGCCTGGTGCCGGAGAGGGTGGCGGCCATCGATGTCCCAGCACCATACAGGTGAACAGCAATCTGCAGTTTGATTCAACTCCGCTTTGAGCGCTTCGTAGCAAACAGTTGTGCTTGGGGAGGGGGGCATTCCGAGAAGTTTTAGGGCACAGCCCACTAATTCCAGCTCCTATTGGAATATATGGAAAACATCTAAGAACTGAGCTGTCAACAATCACCTACTTGAGTGTTCAACTATTGCAAACACATATTGACAGGGTAGTCCAACTTCCAAATTGTCCATTTAGTCAAAAAATTTCACTTTTTGACCAGCGATACCTGGCACGGCAGAATTCACGAGTTGCACATTCCCAGGATCCTTTGCGCCCAGGGTAGGTCACGTGGGCGTCAGGGTAGGGAAAGGTCTCGGTAAACCACGTGACTCATCCTCGGCTTTGGTCGGAAGAAGGTGCCCTAAGCGATATCTGGCCGATAGTAGGCTGGGAGCATTCACATTTTCACGTAGTATATTGAATCAACCCTATCCTATCCCATACCGATAGTCATGGAGCAAAAATTCGATGCCGCTTTGCCGTACGAACGCCGTGAAAAACTACGTGCCTCCCGCCGCCGGCAGTGGTGTCAGCCATTTTTGAAATTTCCGAGCGCTCGCGAACACTTCCGACTTCTTCCGACCAGAGCCGAGGATGAGTCACGTGGTTTTCCGCGACCTTTCCCTACCCTGACGCCCACGTGACCTACCCTGGGCGCAAAGGATCCTGGGAATGTGTAACTCGTGAATGCAAACACTGTCAGCATGACCTCTGACCCCCTTGAAGACCACCAAAAGACAAGAAGATGGGATTAGTTTTAGAACCTACCAAGCAGCCAAAACAACACTAACAGCCAGTTTTTTCAAGTTAATAGAAATAGAAATAACTCTCCAGCTGGAAAATGCCAGCATTTATCCACACATACCAAGAAAAAGGCTGTTTTCAGTTGGTTTGGCTGCACTCAAAGGGGTCTCACACTGGGCCCTCTGGGCATGCGCCAATTGGTGGCCTTTGCCCTTTAAAGGATAGCTGTAACATCTGTTCTACAGTAGTCTGATTGAGTTAGTATCTGTTCTTTTCAGATACAACATCATTTTTTTAAGGTTGGGTGGCTTCAGACAAGATGATTCTTTGTTGTCCCCAAATGACATACCTGTCCACAACTACAAACAATGAAGACATCGTGAGCCTTTGGGGTGTGAAAACTATGTAGCGAACATTTGAAAGGCCAAAATCAGTTTACGAAATGGAGGGGAAGGATTATGTATCTAGTAGGGATTGAAAACTGTCGAAAATAACATGTTTTCTGGGTTTATATTTACTGCTATATCTATCTATCTATATATACAAGCTTGTGAACGTTTTAATTCTAATGCCTTCTTGTGCTTCTGTTTTTGTTTCTAGAGACCGACTCGGACGCCTCTATGACATCCTGTTTACCAAACGACATGTGTGTCAGGTACCTGAAGATATGATCAACAGGTTGAAGCAGATGAACGCAGTATCATCAAAGGTAAGTGCAGATTTCATAAAGATGTATCTGTGGCTAACGTAACATCCTAAATACGTATCTTATCTTTCATTCTTTCCAAATCCGTCAGGTTCCTTCATCTATTTGACCAATTATTTTTGTCTTTTAGCATTTTACATTTCTCTGCCTTTCAAGGAATAAACGTTAATAGAAAATGTGGATAAAATTTTTCTTCAATCTTAGATGGCGTGGGTGCTTTCTATGGTGGATAACACAACGAATGATAATGTATAATGAATCTTGGAATATCAACTGATCAGATGAACCAGGTACGCGCAACGTATCAGTCACAGAAATGATTTTCTTTCAGTAAGTCTTATTCTCATCCACTTACTAACTGACAGGTTCCTAGCCTCGGGACACAGTTTCGGAGGGAAGTGGAGTCGCACCCTGCCATGGCGCCACTCGTGTTGAAAGAAGACCCTGAAATCTACGAGGAAGTAGACGGGCGAGTGTCCGTCCTCGTCGCGGAATACAACGCTCTTTGCGAGGATAACAACAACGACAAGTTCGACAACTTTCTCAGGAAGGTGTACAAGACGTTCCCCATCACGGAAGCATACTTGGTACACGGTAGAGACTACATTCTCGCAAAGTTCGCGGACGGAACTGTAGCATACTTGAAAGTTGTCGGTGGCGAGGAGCGAGAGGAAATGGACGGGTACGTGATGAACGAAGGGCTGGCTGAGCTGGTAGCGTATCACCTCGATCGTCTGCTCGGGCTGGGTCGTGTGGCCGTCACCGCTGCACGACGGCTGCGACTGGACGGAACTGTCCCGATTAACGGTGTGATCAACGTGCAAGGGGAGGTGGTGGAAAATTTCAGCGGTAAAAGGGAAACGCTTGGGTGGTACCTTACTGACGTTGAAACAAAGACGACGTCTAAAAGCATACGGTTTATGGCACGGCATCTTCAGAAAAGTGAACATGAACGTCATTATTCCCTGGATGTTATTGTTGTAGGAAAAATGAAGTCCACAATAGAAAATGTAGAGCTACATCCTCAAGTTAGAGAATTCTTCAAGCACAGTGCAAACTATTCTACGCTCGAAAAAGCTGAAGTAACGATGCAAATGTTGCGGGATCTTGCTGATCTCTTCGTGTTTAATTTCTTAATTCACAATCCTACAAGAAAAAATCTGGCTATCTCGGAGTTACGTTTTGTTAGTTACGATAACGGTAAAGCGTTTTGGCCTAAAGTTTCCACCAAAGCGTGCGAGTCCATTCTCAGATGTCCTGCACTTCTTCAACCCGAAGGCACCCGAGCATCAGCGGAGAAACACGACGCCTGTCCGAAGATCTGCTCGAACCATGACGTCATGCCTTCGGTCCACTTCGTGAACTGTCGATTTACGAAGCAAACTTTCTCCATAATTAAACGATTCAACGACGAAAAACGATCGGACAAAACTCTCTCATCTAGACTGCGACAATCTCTTTGGAATGAGACTATTGATGTGGGCTCCTTCAAATCTTACTTTGGCAAAGTGAACTTATATGAAGGACTGGACGCCAGGCTTTTTTGTTTAACAAGACATATGAAGAAATGCATGACCAGATTTGGTGATGAAATTTTCATATGATATCAAGCATAAGATAGATACGTTGGGGCGGCTTCGGTACAATATATTGATAACATATTGTTGCTTTTTTTATATATAATATGCCATGGTGAGCTTGTAACCTGCTATTTGGAATTATTTTGGTCACAAAGATGCATATATTTGACGCTGTCTCCATATTTACCATGACAGACCTTGCAGTACAACTTCTTCAGATCGATGTACAGTGTGTTTCGATCGCAGATAAATTAGAACTTTATGGTCTTGCTCCTCTCCCTGACACTCTTGGCGCGCATAGGTTCTACCCATAATGCACCTTGACTCTTCCCTCAACTTTTGAATGATTGTGTGATTTTGCAACCGTTGTGCGAGACTATGACAAAGACTAGTACATGTAATAAATGTTTCTGTGCATGTAATAGATATATGAATCTATAAACGTTGTGCAGCTAGCATTTGAGACAAATCATGTTCAAGGCTAAATGGTATGTAGAAGGTGGTTTGTCTACTGAAATGAGGGTGAGCCTTGTCATTATGGCCACAAAACATGGATAGTAAGGTTTTTTTATGAGATAGGCTAGATTTCTCCGTTGTTATTTTGTTTATCACACTCAATTATAATGAGTGAGTTGCAATGTAGATAAATGTCAAATCCTGCCCATTTTTTATGCATATGCCGGGGACATTAAAGTTTGACCTCCCACAATGCATCACACTGCTCATGCGCACTTCAATCGGCGACTTGGTAGATCTGCAGTGAATTAGAAGTCTAGCTCTACCTTACCAAATTGCAATGTTACAGACAGCTAACTAAAAACATGGAAGGCAGTAAAAGAAATATTAAAGAACCAGCACATTTCAAGTCTGAGATCTACTTTATTTACTCATCAAAATTCTTTCTGCGACTTGTACAATAAAAAGGACCCGATGATTTTGACAAATGACGTATTTGCTCATTTACATCGTATCTTATGTCACGTGACCTTGATCGTCATCGGCATGCAAGTAGACGACCCGTCCGTGACCTCTGACCCGACAGGTCAAACTGTTAGTCCATCGGATGTCCTGGGCTGGGTCCTCGTTTGCTTCAGGTACGGCCAAGTAGCCTGGGTAAAAAGAAAGAAAAGAAAAAACGTCAAGTAATTTCAGGCTAGTGAGGTTTTCTATGATTATTGTCATTGTTTTACTGTTTCCCTAACCGACGGAGAATGTTTTTATTTGTGATTAATTGGTGACTTGGAATTGGACTAATGCTAATATATAATAAGGCTTAGATGTGCAATTGCATTGTCTCATGACCACTTTCGGAGAAGAGGTAATAGTTTATTATTGGTGTACATGCGGTACAAATTGCGTATACAGCTTCTTGTTTCATTCAGCCAGTCTTTCTCTCCTGACTCTATCTACTTGGTTTGTCAGACACTCAACCACCCAACGTGAAATATTGTACATGTCTTTGTCCTTGGTAAAAATGGCGCCCTTACCTTACAAAGTGTGGACGTGCCGATGTTAGAAGTCCTCCTGCTCGTACAGCTGGTCCAGAAACTCGGCCACAGGGTCGCGCCTCCACTTCTGCTGGGACTGGCTGCTGAACATGTCACCTTCCGTCATCGCTCTGACAGGAAAGAAGAATTCCGATTAACGTCAACGGAGCAGCAGCGCCGCCTGGCTATTGGTTTAACACTGCATCTAGAGTCAACGATCGATTGAAACCTATTGAATGTTACATATATCGTGCAGGGAATCTGGGGTGAAGATAAGTGTCATTTTCACCGATCTAGATCTGGGCTTTAGTTGCTGATGCATGGTATGACAAGGTACGTCAGTCTGTAGCGTGCATATCGCAAATTCTTCGGTTAAAAGCCATGATCATGAAGTGGTCACGACTTTTCTAATGCCAACGCACGAAAAGTGCATCTTTGAGTTAAAAGGGTCGAGGGTACTGGACCTTTGAATGGCAGAGAATGTAAAGTTAAGAGCAATTGATACACACGCACAGAGTCGTTACACACAGGACATACATTTGCGCAAGTAGCATTGGAGGCCTAGTTCCTAGTAAATGGACTGAATCTACGGACTCAAGCCTACTTACAATAGCCGTGACTCTTGTGTACAATTAGCAGGTGGAATAGCAGTGCTAGTGGTGCAGTGAGTAAGATGGCTTAACGCGCTGCCACTTTCGTGAGACAATGTGCAAAACGATCATGGTGACTTGGTGCGTCTTCTGCCGTCATTGGTACAATTTGTGTTGATCAGTGCGGGTGTTTTGTTGATTTGATTCAATCCCTTTGGTGCAGGATGATTGTCGTGAGTTTGTGTGCGGTGCTCCACACTCAGTGCAGGCCGGGTTCCGGCTACCTGATCGGCAGGAGGGCCATCAAAATCTTACGGGCCTCAGCAGGCGGCTGGTCCGCCGGCCCCTGGTCGGCTAAAGCCCGTCGCTTCCTGCTAGCTGGTGCGTCTGCAGCGGAGCGCTTGGCCACCGATCGCTTCCCGACAGCCTGCTCCAGGAGGTCCTTGATGTACTGGCGGGCCTCGGCCTGCTCGAGCCGGGCGGCCAGCGCGCTAGTGACGCCCTGGTCGCCCAGCTGGCGCTTGGAGGCCTGCAGCTGCTCCTGTCCGTCAATTGGACTGAACCGCTTGCCGATGGCCTGAGCCATGAGGTTCTGAATCATCCTTCTGGCCTCGGCTTCGCTCAGCTTACTCGCGAGGTCACTGGTGAACCCTTGGTCACCCAGAGCCCTGCGGCCCCTGTCAGAACAGTGGAACAGTCCGGTCATACACTTTTATTCAGATGTTGGGGATCGTCCATGACTATACGGACAGTTTGCTCAAGAAAGGACGGTTCATTGAGAGATTAAAGATTTAGCGATCTTGCCTTTGCTGTCTTGATTGCCAGCTGCAGGAATGGTGCACTGAAGCATTTTTGTTACCAGCATTTTTAAACGAAACCGAATGAAACCATTTTTCCAGTCACGTGACCTGTGTGATCGTTGACAACCAGGTCACGTGACCATCTTTCAGAGCTTAAATTTTAGTTGTGAGTTTTAGTAGTAGTGTAATCCTTTATTTTCAATGACACGTAATGAAATTTCTTCCTTGAGCACTGTCGGCGTCAGGACGATCCCCGGACGCAGCACTAACACCAGCCTCACCTTTTACCCTGTTTCGCCATGAGGCTTTGCAGCAGCCGGCGGGCCTCGGCCTCCCGTAGTCTGACGGACATCTCGCTGGTGATCGACTGGTCTCCCAGCTGCCGCTTCTCTCTCACGCTACACACAAGAACCGATCAACAACAAGCGATGTACAAGTGTTAAGTCAAAACTTTCTATCCAACAGAAAGAATGCATGGTTCTCGTCTAGAGCTTTCGACCAGTCACTCTGGTCTTCCTCAGCAGAATGACCCAGGGAGACTTGTCACTTGACTTCTCTGAAGTGTGACGTCGACACTGGGTCAAAGGTGAGAATCATTTTTTTGTGTTGGATGAAGCTTTAACTTTAAACATGTAAGTACCAACACAGATGAACTTTCATGATGGTATAACTGTATAAGCGATGTACAAAATGACCTAAAATGACCAGCTCTGCAAAGAACAAAAAATAGTCATACTTTCAAGTACCTGAGTTAAGAACCAATGGGGTGATAAAAATCGTGTTTTCCTAGAACTATCGTAGAGGAGAATTCGCTGCCACCAAGCACAGTTGGGGCATCGCCACTAGATAGCTTTAAACAACTCCTGCAATTAGATGTGCAGTGGTTGGGTGTAACAGGTCGTTCCATAGCCAGCTGCCGCCGCGCCACGTCCATGTAAAGCCGGTCTGTTACGCGGTTATACCAGCTATACAGATACAGATACAGATACAGAAGCATATACAACATTTTCGTGGTCCTAGGGAGTCATCGCCCATCAGCAAAGTTCCCCACCTGTACCCCTTCTACTGCCCTTAGAAACGGATGTCAGTTTACATAAAAGCACTAATGGCAACAGGACATAAAATCATGAAAAAATGTGAATAGATTATACTTTACACCAATTACCAAAAATTCCTATCCTTATAACGTTTTTTTATAACGGTACTGAAAATACCAATTTTGGAACTATGTTCTCGTATTCATTTGACAAAATGCCGTGTCTCAAACCCAATGTACATGTAGGTCCCGGTTGGTTTTGTATTCAAAGACATCGAATGATATGATTTACACAGCATTGCTAGCTATCTAAATATTAGTCCTTTTTCCCCTGTAAAAAGCCATCTACCACGTAAGCTCTATAAATACTTACTGTAGGTCAACAGTGTTAATGTCCGTACATTTGCAAAACAAACATGCTTACGTTCTGTAAAACCATTTGATGGCTGTCACTGTGTCAGGTATTTGATGTCCAACATGTAAAGCTCCAGAGTACAATGTTGATAGCCATGCTTATGCAAACCGCTCATGTTATATGGCACGTCAGTGGATGGTTTGAGCTAATATTTGGATATATACCACGGTAACGCGAGAGCTGTAAAGTACTAGTACTTCTTTGATCACAAGCATTGATGCCCGACTCCGGCTGTTGAGTATTTTCTGCGTTGTTAGCAGCACAAAACACATACACACACAACAAAGGGCGTGTCACAAAAGCAGATGTTCTTTGTCAGCCAGTCGGTAAACAAAATACCTTTTCAGTTACGACATAATCAGCTGAAATAGCGGTCGTGATCATGAGAAAACCATTGTCAAATACAGATTCTTTTTATCTTGAAGATTTCTTTTCATCAAGTTTTCAAATGATC